GAGAGAAATTTGGCCATTGTGGTTTCAGCACTGGGGTACCTAGAAATTAATCACCCCAGTCTGAAGGGACTCTGGTGCCCTGTGTAGTGCACTATACAGTCAGGTGCCTCTGTTTAGGTTTCAGGATAACCAAACTACTGAATACCAAGAATGAGAGATTCCTATATAACTCTGTCTCTCATTTTACCTCATTGTCACAATGGGAATAAAGGGATTGACTTAGATGCCAAATCATGCTTTTGAGCACACAGATAAAAATAACTGAAAAATCACTCCTATGGCTCATAACCACCATTTGTATACTGAACGTGTTATCACAAGCATATTTTGCTAGCACAGGAGCCTGTGATAGGACCTGTTTTTACAGCTTCCTGGAATGAAAGAAGGATTGGATCTATTGTTAAGATTTTCTAAAATCTCTAAACTTTATCCCCATCACGTTGAATTGCTGAAGTTATTTTAATATCTTATTTATTCAGATGTTTTTCTGGCCAACCTGCACAGCTATGCGTTTATTTTCCTTGGCTGTATATTAGTTATGTTACAAATCTCTCCCAAAGAAAGCCCACTTCACAGAAAGCTAACCTCGTATTATCTTCTATAAAAGGAAGAGGTGAGGTAGATTTACTATTTCCTTGCCTCTAGGACAATGCAACATTTAAATTCAGCAAAGCTTTTCAATGCTGCCTCATAAAAATAAACTTGATGAAATACTTAATATCTCTAGATTCTAAAGCAAAGTCTGACCTTTTTGTTCTTCATGTAACTTTTGCAGTATTTTTGCAAATTCTAAATAAAAAGGGACACTGGGAAAGTTTACTCTAAAACTTTGCTGATATATTTTCTTTTGGAGGTATCAGAAGACCTTAGTAAAACATCAAGATGTGAGCAAGTTGCTTGGAGTGTGTCCACACTTCTAAGTACCAAGAAATATAAATACTGAAAAAACAATCTACTGTTTCAGCTGTTAGTAGTTTATATGAAAGAAAGTTGTTATTCTTCTTGAGCTCATTTCTGTCTAATGAAAGCCTCAAACCTTTCTCTGTACACTGATTACAGAATCAGCTGTGGCTTTCCCACCAGCTCAGCAAAGAGGTAGTATATTGTCAGGAGACACAGGTGCAGGCCAGAAGACAGACTATGAATCAAAGCTCTGGTCCTTGTCATATGTGTAAGCACTGCAAAGGCTAGGGACAGGGGAGATTAAGCCAGGCTACTCGGGGCCTGATTTAGTTCTATATTTATGCAGGCTTCATGCTACTAACTTATATGAGAAAATATTTATGCCTCAATATTTATGTACTTTATGTCAGCTAAATTAAGAGGGGCAATAGTTGCAACTTAAGTAAGTGCAACACAACAGAATGAAATAAGGTCCTGTTGTAAAGTGTCTGATAACAGCCTAATGTAGTATATTTAATAAAGAAAGGAATTATTAAATCCTATCTGAAATTTAAGGCCCGTTATTTGAGTGTATGTAGCTTAGTTACATATCTTTAAAGAAAAAAAAAAAAAAGCATTATATTTTGACATCACATAAAATAGAGACATTGAGACATTCAAAATGGCACAGAAGAGGAAAAAAAAAAAAAAAAAGGAGTGAGGATATCGTAGTTTTAAGACTGGGATCTGAACCAGGTCATCCTGCCACTACCAGCATGATATAGAAAGCACACAAAGACATGCTGTGGATCTCTTGATTTTCTGCAGACCACTACAGTGGCTGCTGAGCATTTCATAGAAGATATCTTTTAGAATGATCCCACTTAAGCCCAATTTTTGAGCATTTTTAAATCTTGTAAATACAAGATGATGAAATGGAACATAAGAATACTGAATGCTGTATGAAATGTTTGTTTTTGTGAGCCAGAGGAAGAAGAAGAAGAAAAAAAAAAAAAGTGGTTTGAATATAATAAGATATAATACAAATTCTTAGGCAAGTTTGTGCGAAAAGTTGTATTTAAATTTCTTTAAGAAATGAAGGACCTGTTTTAGTCAAATTCTTCTCTTTAAAGTATTAACTTGTGAAACAGAAACATAAAAAAAGGCTTTTTCCATGGAAAGAATACGTAAAAATTATTTATTTATAGAATCATAGAATCATAGGATAGCTGAGATTGGAAAAAAACTCTAAAAACTGCTAAGACAAACCAGAGTCAGCAAAAGGAGGTTGCTCAGGGCTGTGTACAGTTGGATTTTGCATATCTTCAAGAATGGAGACTCCACAGCTTCTCTGGGAAACCTCTTCCAACGTCAGACCACCCTCATAGTAGAAAAACTTTTTTATTATGTTTAAAAGGAATCATGTATGTTTAAAAGGAATGTACTGTTTGTGTTCTTTTCTTTTCACTGGACAACACCAAGAAAAGTCATTTTTATTCCTTCCTATCAGATATTTTCACATATTGATCAGATCCCCTTGAGCCTTCTCTTCTCCAGGCTGAATGACTGTGGCTCTCTCAGCCTCTCCTTGTATTATAAATTCTCCAATTCCTTGGTTATCTTTATGGCCTATCATTGGACTCAGTCCAGTAAATCTGTAGCTGGCTTATACTGGGAAGCCCAGAACTGGACTCAGTACACCTGATGTGTGTCACCAGGGCTAAGTAGATCAGAAGGATCACATTCCCTGGCCTGCTGACAGCACTGTTCATAAAAGCTTCCCCAGGTTGGTGTTAGCTGTCAATATTAAATGTTTACTTTGTTTTGCTTTTTTTTTTTTCTTCTCAGGTACTTGTTAATATTAACTGTGTGTTGTTGTCCTTTAACTTTCCTGTGGTCCTTTTTATTAATAAGCTAAAAGACATAAAATTGAAATAATAATTAAAATAATTTCTATACACAGGAAATGGCCACAGATAATGTACTACATTTATTTGTGAATTATGCTGTGGTAGAAATAGAATTGCTTTATATGGGCAAAACCAATTTTTGACAGGTGTTGTGAGACATTATCATGGGCAAAGTGCATTGTTAGCAGAGCATATGTGAAATCACAGATTATAACTATATCTGATATTGATTAAATTGCAGTTTGACATTCTATCCACCCCATCTCACATCTGCGTAGTATGAATTTATCTACCAATCATATAACTGTGACGTTATTATTTTTGAAGAAAGAGAAACTTGTTGGTACTGCCTTGAGTCATCTTTCCTCTTTGAAAATATATGATGTAGGTAAAGTTTCTCTCTACCTGATTGTTTCAAAAGCATTAAAGCAAATATTTTCCTTACGAAACATGTGAAACATGTTTCGTCTTAATCCTAAGGGGTGAACAAATTGTAGTTATAATATCAAAGCATTAAGAATAATTATTGCAGTAGAGGATTTACTTTATTTTTACTTTAACTTTGCTGTTATTTTTTTCCCTTTATGATTTCATCTTTAATGTTTGTAGGTAATAGCATAGCACATGTTTCATCAGATAAGAGAAATGAATAGAAGAAAGATCTTGAAAAAAGGGGAGTATACACATGACAGCACACAAAAGGCTCTTACATCTTACATTCCTCACTTCTCAGCAGCAGGGAAATAGAGGCTGGATGTACTGTAAGACACTATTGTAGCTGAACCTGTAAGAATCTTCATTAGTTTCCAAAGAACTGCTGCCCACTGGAGGTTGATATGAATCACCCTGGTCACTTGTTTTGCATACCAAATGTCTTTGGTTTTGATTGCTTGGTTGGTTGGTTTGGTTGTATTGTTTTGGTTTGCTTTGCTTTGTTTTGTTTTCCCATTGGGGCTGACTTGGCTGAGCACTAATACTGAGCTTTGTCACTTCCACAACCTCACCGAGATATAGTCAGGTTAAATAAGAGGTAGACCAACACATTAAAAAAATAATAATAATCAAAACCAACCAACCAAACAAACAAAAAACACTTATAGAAATGCTTCACTGCCAGAGTTTGTAGCTAGTGTACAGTGAAACTAACAAGCCAACTCTTGGATTTAAAATATTTAAAATTTCCCCAGTGGTCCTGTCTACTAATGCCTTTACTGACCAATGTCATCCTATGGTGTCTCTCCTCCACTCACTTGCTCAAGTGAGAACAAAAGAGATGAGTTAGAAAGACTGATATGTATCAGGGAGCCTGAATAAAGCACACTGACTATGTACTGTAGAACAGAATGCCTACAAGCTCTTCCTTGTTGTTTTTTTTTTTGTTTGTTTGTGTTTTTTGTTGTTTTGTTTGTTGTTTTTTGTATGTTTTTGGTTTTGTTTTTTTTGTTTGTTTTAATATTGTGGCTAAAACAGGTATGCTCTCACTACCAAAAATAAATTGCTATACTTTCTTCCTTACAGCACAAGATTCCTGCTGTATAATGTATTTTCTTGCCTCTTTCCCTTTCTTCTTTTACCAGAGGGTTCTAATTCCCAGCCAATTTATACTGAATATAAGAATTAACCTAATAGCAGGATAATTTGTAAAGTGCTTTGAATTCAGTGTAAAGCATTTAATAAGGCTAATGTTCTTTTCTCACTTACAGAAAATAAGGATAAGATTCTCTCCAATTACTTTCCCTATGAGCAGTTCAATTTTTAAAGATTTTTAATTATAGGTGTACAATGAAAATAAAATTAGCAGGTATTTGGGGAAAAAAAAAAGTAGTTGTAAAGCATACCTTATTAGCCTAAGTGATATCAGAGATTCCCTAGTGTTTGAAAACCTCTAACAGAAGATTTTTAATTTTGGCATTATATTATTACTGTTTTTACTGCTATGAAAAGTTCTTTCTCTTTTAATCTCTACTTTCCTTTCAGTTTCCTTTTTTTTTTTTCTGAAAATTATATTTCATGAATGTACTCATTAACTACTGAAGAGAAACAAAACAAACAAAACTGAAATAAATAAACTAAATTAACCCTTTTCAAAAAATACGTATTACTGATTTTAAAAGGGAAGGAGGGAGGGAGGGAGGGAAGAATAAATTTAAACTTGATCCCACACACAGTATAGTTTTATTTATAAAGCCTATATTATGGCTTCAGTCTTTTGCCATATTCCATACAAGCTGGAATGTAATTGCATGTGCACAGTTCTCCTGAAAAGTCTGCTTTGGAGTTCACTCTACAAACTCTACAGATCTGAGTGTTCTACATTCACTGCAGCAGTACGACATTTCCTCAACAACTCTGTTCCTCTTAGATATATTTTTAGCTTAGGAATCTCCCAGGGATTCTCAGCTAAAACCTAGTCCATATTCAGAAAATTATTGAAACATAAACTTAATTATATATTTAAAAACTGATTTGACTTGGCATTAGTGCTAATAAACATTAGTGCTAATAAACAGTTTCCTGATCATCATTTCTATGATTTATCACTCATTTATCTTTTTTTAATATCAACTTAAAATAGCTTCCCTGCCTCTGCTTAAGAAGCAGCTCTGCTAGAAATTTATGCTCTCACTCTCAGAAAGAGGTAATGCAGGTTGTGAGCTCATCAGTTTGCAAACTGCTCCTCTGCTAGAGCAACAGGCAACTCCAGCAGAGGAAAAATGAGTGAATAGCTGAGAAGAGGACAGGAAAGGCTCTTGTTTGTCTTTATCCTTCTGACTTTATGCAAGCAAGGTGCCTTATCCTGACAGGAGTGGAGCACTTGCATAGCCATATGCCTTTTGGTACTCAGTGCTGCCTTGAAGATAGTCTACCATGTAGGCATGGAAAGAACATGCCCTTTTATACCAGTGTAGAAATGTATATATATCAAATCTACCTAGATCTTGACACATGAGGAGGAAAATGCTGCTATTGATGTATTTTAGCTACATAACCACCTTAGTGGGAAGATCTGATGGGCAGATAGACATCCTGCCCAGAGCATTCATGAAGAATGATCACTTTTTAGAATGACTTTTGCAGGTGACACTGGAGAGAGCACACCTGAAAGAACCTTAAGAACATAGAACTGGTGAAACTATGGTACGATGTTTCCTCCCAGCCGCCACCACCACCACCCAGTGTTTCCATCACAGCAGAACCTGGAGTCCTTATGTAGAATCTTGATCTATCAGATTAAGGAAAGAAGCAAAATAATGACAATCTGTGAGTTGAGCTGTAGTAAGAAGCTGGGATGGATTTTCAAAAACTCAGACTGAGTTTGTTCAGCTTCTCAGATGAAAAGATTTTTCTTACTATCACCAAAGGATTAATAAATCATAACTCTTACTTTTACAAAGCATAGCTACCAAACAATTTTAGCTGGACAGTCTTAACAAGATTGTTCAACGAGATGAATTCAAAAAGACTAGCAGAATGTACTCAAGAAAGATAACAGGCACTACACATCTGAAAGCATCATTCCCAGTGGGGAAAAATCAGCCAGGCAGAAAATATATTAAGGACATAAAAAGATCAGAGGCATACTATAAATTCATAAAACAGTGCTGTTGCAAAGACAGATCTCACTTTAGCATGTGTCCTAGGAGGTCCCGGGCAGGACAAGAAAGGTAGCTGTCTTTGGCCTGTTTATTGGTAGTACTGGACCCCTAGCTGGAGAACTCATCTCATTGTGGTTGCCTTCCTCTTAAGAATGATGCTAGAAAGTTGCAGAGTCTGCAGAAGAGAAATGGAGAAAACGAAGAGTTGCAAAGAGATTTACAAAACACGACTTAGGAGAAATAGTGAAAGAATACTTGTTTAGTTTAATAAAACAAAGTAAATAAAATAAAATAAAACAAAACAAAATTAAATTTAAAAATTGACTGTCTATTAGAAAACATAACTGTTTTCCATTACTTAAAAAAATGATAAAAAATAAGGTATTTGTTCTTCACAGAAAAAAAAAAGGGGGGGGGGGGCAAGGACAAGAAGAAATCATAAAAGACTTAAGATTTAGAGTAGTAAAATTGTTCTAATGAAGAGTAATGAGGCACTTCCGCAAGATATCCAAGAGCATCATGACCCATTGTTCATTGTTTTTAAGAAACAGATGAGACAAGCATATGGTAGATTTACTTGATCCAGCTTCCGTGCAATGGATAGAATTAGGTGCCTTGAACTCTGGAGAATCTTCCTAACAACATATGACTATGATCCTGTCCTCTTTTCCTTTATATGTTACCCTGAAAAGTACTTTCAAAACATCATGATTATTGCACATCTTTAAAAAAAGGATAGTAATAGTCTTTATACAATGCCAGGTAAATGTTGCAAATAAAACAAGCTAAAGTATTCTCTTCTGCTCCTTCTGTAATGCAATAAAGGATTCCTTCATTTTCCATACATAGGGAAGGATAGGGAAGGAAGGCTTTCAACACCATGCATTCACCTCTGGCATATCTCCACTACAATGTCCTTTTTTCCCTCTTAACAGCAACAAGAAAGGATTTTAATCAAATATCCTTAAAAAGAGATCTGATGAATAAAATGAATATATTTTAATATAGCAGAAGCAGGCATGATTAAGTGCATAAAGAATTGAGGTTAAAAGTGGCTACAACAAAAGGTTGAGTAAAAATTAATTTTAGCATATGCTTTGTATAATACTGCATAAGCTATTCTTTTGTTCCGTTGCCTCTTTTTTGGGCCTTAATTTTCAGTTAGTCGCTGGCTTACATCTTATCTCATACCATAATGGCAGAAATTAATGGGATAAAAGTACTCCATTCAAAGACAAATTATCATTTCACTGATCTACTTCACTGAGTGCAAATTCCCTCTGCTCCCATTAAAAGCTTTAGAGCAGTAGAAAAATGCTAGTTAACTAAAATTGTGTTTCTTTTCTTAGACCATAAAATTTTCATTTATTCTGTCTGTAATACCCTTGTGTAAATACAGTAATTTTGAAGCCTTTCAGGATAGTGTGATACATATTTTGGCATTGTTGCATGTCTGGATTTCTTCCATGGTACTTTAATTTTGTGGTTCAGTGAGCAAAACTAAGAGTTCTCCTGAAGGGCCTGTACTTAAAACAGCCAGGGGCGGGCTGCCTGCTGAAACAGTCAATCTTTCCCCTTGATGAGAGTGTCCAGCCACTGTTTGTGTGAACTACATCTCTTTCATTTTCTTTCATTTCACCACTACTTTGTTTAAATTTGCATCAGTTCTTAGCAGCAACTTCTTTGAGACAAATACCAAATAGTAGTAGAGAGCTAGAAAAGGAAAAATTGTTATCAGGATATGATACAAAAATGTGACATCCATTGGAATACAAAAGTTTTCAGCTTTTGTAGAGGAAATTACAATTCAAAAAACAGAAAGAGATCTTTAGCTACTTGAGGTTGAAGCTCCTCCAAAATGAGAAAAGAGATAATCTTTATGTGTTATATAAGCTTCAAGGAAAAGATCAAGATTACTTTTCAAGGAACAGAATATAAATTTGCTATAATTTCCCAAATCCTGGGGTTGCAATTCCTTTTACTGCTAGAAGGAAAAATGTTCCCCATTGTGATTACAAGAGATGGGTTCTTCGATAATGTTAATCTTTCAGATCACTCCATGAAACAAAGTGTTACTTAATAAAAGGTTTTACCAATATATTATATTATCCTAGCTCCGGAGTTTAAAACTAGTAGTATGTAGTATGTAGTGTGGATACACTACTAATGCATGCATGCACATATAATAAGTATACACACATACAAACAGCCAGTCATATGATTGCATATTTAATATCTGTAACACTATTCATTAAAAGTAGACTACAGCTGTCAATATAACTTAGAACTATGGAATACAATATGGAATATGGAATACAATTTTCCTGTCTTTTTTCTGCCTATCCAAGAAAATTCATTAACAAGGTCTACTGTATGCAACAGACACTTTTGTGTTTTATAATATATGACACTAATCGTAGTCTTCAGTGAAAAACAAAATCAGTTAGGACACCAAAACAAGTTAAAACACCGACGCTTCCTAAAATAATCAATCAGGAGAGAGAGAGAAAGAGAGAGAATATTTGTTAAGCATGTTATAAATACTTTTATGTTGCTAGTAGAAAAAAAAAAAAAAAAACGTGCATTCATTTTGTTAATTTCTACAGTTAACAAACAACTGATATTCATCTGCTAGTAAATTTCCAGCAAATTTTAAAAATCTTATTTTTCTTTATAGAAACCACAACAATAATTATATTTGAAGTCCTAGAATTTCAGTCCTATCTTGAAGGAATATGTGATAAAGTTCTTACAAATGAAGCCCAGAATTGCTCTTACTGCTAAAAGTTTAATTGGTTTCAGTGGACCTTTGTATATGACAATGAAGAAAATGCTTTGAGATAATATTCTCTTCAGTGTAGCTATAGCAATGGAGTGTGCAGCACTGTCCAAGTCCAGCAGAGGAATGCCAGGCATAGAGCCTATGCTATGCAATGCATCTCGATTAAGAAGTCACCAAGTGAACTGCTGGTTCACTAAAGACTGTCGTTAACACCATTAGACAGCTCAGCCCTGCACAACCACTCACTCACTGCCCCAGCTGGGTTGGGGGAAAGAACTGGAGAGATAAGAGTGCCAGACCTCATGGGTTGAGAGCAAGACAGCTCACTAGGCAAAGCAAAAGCCATGCACAAGCGCAGGAGAACAAGGAATCCATTCGCTGCTTCCCACCGGCAGGCAGGGGTTCAGCCCCCTCCAGGAGCACAGGGCTCACCCCACAGCATGGCTCCTTGGGAAGACAAACACCATCACCCCAATGCCCCCCCTGCCTCCTCCTTTCCCCCAGATGCTATCGCTGAGCATGGTGCCACACGGTGTAGGACATCCCTTGGGGCAGCCTGGGCCAGCTCACTGGCCAGGCAGCACCAGGAGCAGAAGAGGCCTTGGCTCTGTGCAAGCTCTGCTCTGCAGCAACTGAAACATCCCCATGTTACCACCCCTATTTTCATCATAAATCCAAAACATAGCATCATCCCATTTTTTAAAGAAAATTAATTTTAACCCAGACAAAAACAGGACAAAGAAAGTTTAGCCCACATTAAAATCAGGAGTTTATTCAGTAATTCTTGGTGGCCTTGAAAATGTAACCACTCGTCATAAACAGGAGCTTAAATTTACTGAATTCTGTGGGAACAAATCTAAACCAAAGATCCTGACAAAGATGTGTCTTAGCTCTTGCAGGCTCCACATCAAAACAAAAAACAAAAACAAAACAAAACAAAAAACTTATTGGACTAAGCCCATTTGCAATAAAGTTCTTTCACTCCACCCCTAGCAGCAAGACTACAATTACTTTGCTTGAATTAATACAGCATCCCCCCAAAAATATAAGTATAATCATCTTATTTTTCAACAGCCAGACAAGTAGAAGCTTGTGCTGAATCCTTGAGGAACTTCTAAGGACACAGAACAGTTAATGTGGGGCAGCATAATAAAAGCATATTTCTGTACATGCTAGCTGGGAGAAATCTAGTCTTCTCTGTATAATGACCTTCTACCTCTCTGGTCTAGGTGGAAGCAGATCAGAATTGAAGGAACACTTCATACCTATCAAGGCCTTTAGGCTCTTTTTCATAGTACCACTATTTTTAAAAAAAGTAACACAAAAGAATGCAAACAGCTTTTCCAAAAATAACATAAATATAAACTATTAATCAAGTCTGATTTAATGGGATCATTATATCTGGCATTCTGCATGTGCTAATAGCATCTAATGCACAGATGCTTTTTTTTTTTTTTTTGGCTCTTGAATGAATAATGATCTGGGATTCAGTTTTCCTTAATGGTTCCTTAATATCTACCACTTTGGCTAGAGCTGCAAATAAAAATACATGACATTTATTTTATATTAACAGCATAGAAAGTGTGTATATTTGTAATCAAGGTAAAATTTGATAACGTAAACCTAATGACTTCTGCTGAAGAGGGGATGATTATGAAGAGCAGTGCTTCCAGCATAGATATGGAGTGCTGTCACACTAAAATGCGGTGGAAGAATAAGCAAAATATTGATAAGATACTACTAATTTACACAGTAAAAGTGAACTCCTTTCTCAAATAAATGACTTCTTAGAAACTTAACTAAAGAAGGTAGGAAAGCAAAAGAAAATTTCATGTGTTTTCTGCTGTGCAGCATAGCAGATAAAGGAAAAAAAAAGATAAGACTTCAGAGGACTCTGAGGACTCTACAACATATGTATAACTGTCTTGTTGACTGAAGTATTAGTAATCCAGTTAACCCTAATGCTACATGGTTTCTATCTGTTAATTTTTTACATCTGTATAATACATAGCTTTTACTGTTATTGTTGGATTTTATTTATTTATTTATTTTTCTATGGAGAAAAAAAATAAAAAAATTGAGTAAAGATAAAAGTAAAAAACAGGTTCATTCTGTAGTGCCATCAGAAATCTGACTTCATCTGAAAGAGTTGAAATATGGCTAGGCAAGTATCAGTGAGCCACCTGTGAATGAGTCAAGATTCAGTTCTGCTCATGTAGACCCAAAGATAAAGCACAAGCCACTGAGACTTTATTACTGTCAGAAGTACCTAGTTTGAAGACAGTGTCGATATGATTGCTTGCAGTACAACCCTAGTTCCTATTGAGGTGTATTCCTAAGTCACACTAGTTTTATGCATATGCATGTACCATGGGGCAAGGTGATCCTGTCCGTGGGCAAATTAATACATAAGACATACCTGTTGAACCCAGTCTTAATGGTGCAATTCCAGCACTTCCAGAGTTCCTACCCAGGTTGGTATGTGTCAGTAAAGCATTATGAGGATGGAAGTCCAATCTCCTCTGGAGATGATTTTACAGAGGAGTTAACTCTGAATGCTCACATATTCATCAGTAAGGCTGTCCACATTACAAAATGACAGACTCACTGAGTTAGCAGGTGATGAGGCCATTCAACTCAACTTAAAAGCTGCTCCATAAATGGATTAAAGCTGTACACAAATGGGTCTTCACATAGGATATACGTTTGATTTACAGATTGGTTTAGTTTTGTGGTAAATACAAGACCTTGATTATGTTACTGCTAGAGAGGTAATCAGAATGAAAAGGATCATTAAAGAAAAACCCTAGATTTGTCACCTAAATAAGTAGTTTTGACACTCAGTACATATGAGAAAAAGATCAAGTATGAAGTGTGAATATTTTTACATAATTAATATGATCAGTGACAGCTGTACTTTTGAAAAACAAAAAATGAATACAAATGAAAAACATCAAATTTAGATTGTGAAAGCAAAAAATGAGCCAGATTTGGAAGGTTAAGGTTACAGTCTCAAAATAAACTCAAAAATTTAAGGAATGGTCTTATCTTATGTTTTGATTTCTCTTACACTCATTGAGAGGAATATCTCAAGAAAAAGTGTTTTAATGTTAATTAATTTTGTCAGATTGAAATATTGTTCAATCTGGGTTCTGTTAAATTTATGGATCATTAGTCTCTTATCTTTTCATTATGGTCTCCTGAGAGGAACCATCATGAAGTTAAATGAACACAGAAGGAAATTATTAGTCTTCCTTTCCCTTTCACCCTACTTTCCTCACTGGGGGAAACAGGGTATAAGTGCATTCATTTTATGCAACAGATGATAAATACCTTCTATGCTTTAAAGTCTCTAGGGATCTGATTTATTTAGTCATTTTACATGTGCTGTGATTAAAGATATATAATTCACTGATTTTCCCCAATACCAGAAGTACCCCAAGTCCGCATTAAAAATTGTCTGCTGGTGCTTAAATAGAAAGAAAAAAGGAGGGAGGCAAACGTTTGAAGTATAAAAAGTTAAGCATTTGTTGCACCCCAGTAAATGAAAATTAACTGAAAAATAATCAAACTATTTCACAGTTAAAACTAAACACATGCACACAGACAAAATACATTTGTGTATGTAAATCCATATTCCACAATTTAGCCCTGAATTCATTTTTACTAACTTTTTACATTTTGACTAACTGAAAGATTGGTCAGTATTTCAGAGAAGTGTACAAGCATACTAGTAATAAAATAACAAAATTCATTCCTTGTAAATCATACTGCCAGAAAATAAACCCTAAGAGTGATCATTACTAGACTACAATAACGCCACAGCAGTTCTTTTAAGTGTTACAATACACAATTTTTATTCACCCCAGGAAAAAAAATGCTTTTACTGTGTTTTTGTTATTTTTTTTGTTGTTGTTGTTTTGTTTTAAATACAAAGCTCAATTTTCTTTGGAATTACATTTTGACTTATATGGTTTACTCTTCAGCTGTATTCATCAGAACTGTTTCAGGGCTTTGCTTTCTTGCTTGCTTTTTTCCGTAGTTGCTTGCATATCTTGCCTGCTTTAAAACATATTAAAGTACCTAAATATAGAGGGACAGGAGAACTGTTTCACACACAAGAGATTAAGTGACCTGGATGCTTGTGCCTCTGTGTTTTATCTACTACAAACAGTTGCCTCATTGGCATGACGTACAATTCACTAAAATAAAAGGATTCAAAGTGCAATTGATACTAATAAGGAGAAGAAAACAATTATGTATGCACAAATGTAATTTGAAAGGGTGATGGCACACGAAAGGGATTTATATTTAATACTGAACCGAAGAGACATAGTTGACTTGAATAACAGTTATGGTATTTTCTAGCCTTTAATTTTTTGTTTACCAGATGGGATGAGAGAAAATTCAATTTCACTCATTGTCCCAGAGATTTCAACATGGAGATCAGCTAGAACTATGCAGTACGTGATAAGCTGGCCAACAATTTTCATGTTCATTTGGTGCAGCTTGTGGCAAGATATCATAATCAGAAGTCATTACTAAAAGCAAAACTCAGCAGTCATTTTAATCAGACATAGGCAAAGTCAGCAGCAAGTGTGCTAAGGGGATATATTATTTCTGATCTCTGCCACTGTGATTTTAGTAGTGTTCTTGAAGGGAAACAACATGATACTAAGTAAAATCAATAATGACAGAATCAAGCACTTCTTTGGATAGATGTTACACTTGATTGTATAAAGATGCTGGCCATTGCTTATTCAACTGTAGCTGTGGTTAATGACTCACATGATGATAAAGGGAGTACCTGCTGACCTTAAGCTATGAAGAGAAAAAAAGTACAGTTTAAAAACACAGAATATAATTCTGATTTCTTGTTGTTTTCATGACTACAGACCCTTACTAATGGAACTTATTTCTGACTTCCTCTATACAACTATACAAGACAGAACAAGACCTCAGGCACATAGGAGTGTGCAGAGAAACATGGAATAATGCCTTCCTTCACCATGCAGCAATTCCTCCTAGTCTTAGGGGTTATTTAATATATTTTTTAATATAAGAGGAGAAACACAGATTTGTCAACTTCCTGAAACATATAACTCTGGCAAAAACATCTTGGGCCACAACTTAAGCTTCAATTCCAAGTTACTTAGGGAAGTAAAAGAGAAACTATAAAACACATGAAAGTGGTTGCAATTTGGATACAGAATGAAGAACATGTAAAAATTACAAAGGACCGTTTAAAGGAGAAATCTTACTTAGTTTAACTATGTTCGATGGCCAGTCTTATAGTGTGAACGCAAGTCCATGGGCAGAGAATTACTATTTCAGTATTTTATTGCTTTATTATTTTAATGAAATATTTTCATTAATAACAAAATAATATCAATATAAAAAGTAAACATATATTAAATCTAAAGAGGTTATAAATTGTGTATTGGCTCTCTGCCCCATTCATCACACATTTCCTGGTTGATCACCAGATTACTGCTTAGCCTAACTAATGCTGAATTGTTGTTGATATATGCTAAACTGTTGCTCTGCCCCTATCCCAGTCTATGCCAGGAAGTCTGTTACAGACTTCTACATTATCTTATGCTGATACCATACATACATCTATGGAAGAAATTAAGACAAAATGATATGTTTAAATATGGTTTGATCACCTTGCTTTTTTTTTTTTTAAAAAAAAAAAAAAAAACATTCTGCATGAGGCCTGGTTGCACACCTCACAGTTTACATTCGCTTTCCAGAACATACCCCCTGCAGCTTTGGGCTTTAGCAAATTGAACCCAAAGAAGCAGACCACTGTCTTTGACAAGTTGGATGTCTGGCTTACCATGGGAGAAGGATACTGCTCCTGCACAATGGACCAGATTCCTCCCAGCTCTTCCTGTGTAGTAGCCTCAAGCAGTTCTACTGAAATGCTGTGTGCTGGCTTAGTCACACTTGGCAGATGATTTAGCACTGCTTTAAAAAAAAAAATCGCCATGATGTGTGTAAACTACTTGGCCACTCCAGCATTTCCAGTAGTTCTACATTATATATATATATTTTTTTTTAAACAGCTCTGCCAGGCTTAGCAATGCCCAGTGGTTTTACTTCCAATCTTCCACAGACAAAAATATTTACTTGACATAGCATTACATATAGATGTGAATGCTCCCAAGGTCTCCTGGTATTTCCCAAACTATTTTTCAAAGAGCTACATTCCCCTCTCCCCTTCAAACACATAAGAAAACTCAGAGGTGTAAGAAAAAAAAAATCTCAAAAAGCATACTTGAGCATTTATCTATATCAGTTCAGACCAAGGTACACCAACCCCAGCATCTTGTTTCAAAAGCTGGTCAGAAACAAAGGCTTAGGGAAAGAACATAGGAAAATGACGTTAAAGTAAAACTTGCCAGTCAGATCCCTGCACAGCTTGGAGTGAGGATAGGGAGTCCGGAGTGGAGTAGTAAAGATCAGCTGGGTAGAGGGGGAGGAAATATGCTATTTTATATGTCTTTTTGTTTCTCACCACTCAAATACATTTCAATTGCCAGTATTTTTTTTCCCAAGTTAAGTTTGTTTCATCCATGAGTCTTTATCTCAACCCATAAGTTTTTTCATCTTATTTCCTCCCCTAGTTCCACTGAGGAGAGGGAGGGATAGAGTGGCTGGGTGGGAGTTTCTCTGCTGGTTAACCCACCACAGCAGAAGAGGAGGGAAGGGTGCAGAATACATTATACCAGCCTGGTAGTTGGAGATGCCTTGCTGTGTGTCTCAGGACACAGCTGCAGTTCCCATGAGATACAAAATGTGTGTCAGCTTTGTACACTTGAAAAAACTTGGCAACTATTATAACCTCATCTTTCCTTTAATCACTGGTAGCATATCACCAAAAAGCAAGATAATAAAACCCAATGAAATAAAAAATTCCTGAAAAATTAACTTAATTTAAAAGAACAACACTCTACCTGTAAATCAACAGCTTCAAACCAGAGTTGAAGTTGGGAATCTGGTAGTAGAGGGGCAAGTCATTGCATACATTGGAGGGTAATTGTAAAGGGTCACATATGCCTATTGTTGACGTGATAAATGTTATGAGTACACACAGCAGAATGTATTAAACTGCCTTAGAGAACAGAGTGCAGCGTTAGACTAAGGTTTTCGAATTATGATTGCACATAAATTATAGTGGCAACAAGGGAAGGAATAAGTCTCCTGAGCTGAGATTAGCAACAAAAAACTCCTATTAAATTTGTGCATGTGATGAGGATTTAATGACTGAGTAAGTCTTCTAAAGTTTTTAAGATATTCCCCACAAATAGCCAGATGATTTTTCAAGGATAGCTTCAGAGTGATTATAAGTCTAAGATCAATATAATTCACATTACTAATGCTTGCCTAACACTGGTTAGGCACATTTATACTGAAGATGAAAGTTTAATTTGAGCCTCTGTGGAATCCACTGTATTATGAATCAAGTCAAAAGTTACACAAAGAGACACAAGAACATTCAGATGATGCAGCTATACAGCCATGCTTTTATAAGCCTACTGTTCATCCTGATGATAATAAGTTACATTAATTAAAATAAAAAATGCCATCAGAAGTATGTAAACTAATGCCTGCCTCATCAAAACATTGAAGTGTGGGATTTTAAACTGTAATACATTTGAAATAAATACTGTTAAAAGTACTTTCAAGTGAAAAGCTCTGCCCACATTTATTTTAGGTGACTATTCATATTACAAGGATCATAAATCAGCATATTATTATCAATGCAATGCACACTTTCAGCTGACTGACATGTTGATCTACACAGGGACAATGATGAAGAGCCATACAACAGTATTAGGCAGGAGGAAAATATGGATCTTGATCTAATGAGATGAGATGTAAACATTTGCTGCACAGTGAAAGTATTGTACCTGAAGAAAGCTTTTGAATCTGGCTTCTGTTTTTAATGTTGTTGTTTTTTTGGGGGGTAATTAAAAAGAGACAAATATTTGTGCCAGAAAATATAAGAGGACTCCAGGAGGCAGAGCAGCTCATCTAACTGAGATCAGTGGGTGAGTTGTGCTTTTCGCTATTTACCTGATTTTGATGTTTACATACTCATTTGCTTGCAAGCAATTGACTTGGAAAAGGGACAAAAAAGCAACATGGTCTGGAAAAGCAGCATGAGATTAATCAGGAATACAAATCTTTATGTCCTGGCAGATATTAATATCTTCAATAAATCTATTTTAACTATATCTTTCTAACAGGAAAATTGTTGAATAATTTAAAATATATTTTACCAGCCTTCAACACTTACTGTTAACTACATGCCTATAGAAAAAAAGTCTTTTGTTTTAACATTTATGATAAACCTTTACTGGTCATATATTATATTAGAAACTCTGGATCAGATTACTGGCTTGTAACAGTGAATAAAGCTTCAATACAGCCGTAATAAATGTTATGAGTGCTTGAAAACAAAGCTTGTTTTCCTTTTTTGTTATTACAGTATTCTACAGTCCTGGAGGATAAGTACTAATCACATACATTTGTTTCCCCTTGATAAATATTTTATCATTTTTATCTCATTTAACACTAACTTTCTTCTTACTAATTCTATCAGACAAAAGGACCATAATTACTGAAGCCATATTCCACATAGCAGAAATCACTAGCAACAAAATAAATGACTTACTATTATATTATTTGTTTAAAGCACAAATGTATAAATTGAATAAAGACAGAACAAATTGCTGCCTAGATACAATCTCTGCAAAATCAAGTAAGTTTTAAAACACAAAACATAGCTTTGAAATTCTGGAGAAATGCCATCAGTATTTTAAGTAGGGTCCGTGTTCATATATTATTAAATATTGTATAAATACTTTAAAATAATAACAGAAAAATGTATTTGTGCAGAAAAATTGAAAATTGTATTAAATTCTAGCTCTACTATCAAACACTACTGATTAAAATTCATTCCGCAGGAGTTTTTGTAGTTTGAGGATTTGTATTTTCTAAAAGAAACTATGTTTCCTTTAGCTCATTATTTCTTTTACAATAGATTTTGAGATGAAACTTTCTAATATTCATTTCTCCACTGTAAACATTATTACCAACATTCAGTAAAATAACTGTTTTTTTTAATACTACCTAGCTAAATACATGAGTCCAAGTTTGGCCTTATGCCTTTGCTTACTAGAGCAATCCTCTATAGGCAAAGTATTTTGAATCACTACAAAGGTGCTCTATCATTTAAGCTCTGGGAAACTTCTACCTTTCCCTTTCCATCAGATTATTAACAGAGATTATTTTCATCATCTCTGGCTGGAATAAAATTGCAGAACTTTAGTTTTCAAATAGCCTCTTATTGTAAACTTCTTGAGATCTAGCCAATAGTATTTTCTTGTTATGCAATATGAAACAGTGGCAGGGAGTAAATATCTTCTTTTGTAGTGTGATTTAAGAGGAAGGTTTCAAACAAGAAAACAGAGTAATGTAAAGATATATGCAGCCTTGACAGAAAGAAATAGCAAAAAAAAATAAAGAAAGAAGAAAGCTTTGGACAAAAAGAGTTGACAAGCTCACATGTTTTGTTTTTTTTTTAACTTGAAGCTAAATACGACACAACAGCCAAAACTCAAGATTTCAGAGACTACGCTGTTTAGAGGATTGGTATTGACACTTCATACAGTGCCTATTCTCAGCTTCTTTTGCAAATTATGCATATACAATTTATTTTTAAAAAAATTTAATCCCATCCTGCAATAGCAAGTATCATTTATTGTTGTTGCTGTGCATGATGATAATCTCTGGCAAATCTGAAAGATGAGAAAAAAATCTTCTAAAACAGAAAACACGAGGCACCACATGTAAAACTGAGACTCAGACATTCAAACATGTATTTCAAAACAGTTAGAGTACTGCTCCAAAGCAAATAACCCAAGATTTGGTTATATGAATTAAATAGAGCAATAGTGGAGGAATGCAATCCTGCCTTTTCCATATTGGTCACACTGAATCTCCAGATGGCCTGTTACCCTCAACAACATCTAACATTCTCTCTAGTCAATCCAGCCTGCCTTGCTCCTCTCTACAACTGTATATTATCAATGATATTTGTGTCAGTCTTGACCTATGTACCTATTCAACATTCATCATTAGTAGACATCATGCATTTCAAAACATGTGGTGACATTTACAATATATTAAACATGTTCCTCTGTTCCTTCTCTATAGCTCAGCCAGAAACATGTGCACAGACCTGAGTCAATGAGAAGTCTAGCAACAGTAAGATGTACACTGGTTTGATGCATAACTTAAAATACTCTTGTATAACCAGAGCATTTCCTACAAGACCTGTGACTGATTTGTTCTCCATTTCTTCATCATACTAGGTTTCCATAATCTGTTCTCTGCTTTTAACTTTGATTTTCAGGATGACTTTTTTTTTTTTTTTTATGAAATAGCCTACTTAAAATAGAAAGGAAAAGGAATAAAATATTTATTTCTGAGCTTTCCAATGCATTCTTATAGGTAGAACCAAAAGCCAGATGTTCTACTCTTGATTGCCTTGTTTTCTCAATGCCCTTTACAGGGCAAGAGTATCTGCACCCACATCTGAGCCAACACCACCTTCAATAAATCGAAATCTATCCTGAGTTTAATCCTAAAAAACTTAGTCTTAAATCTTAAGTTGTTTGGTTTTTGTTGTTCTTTTGTTTCGTTGTTTTGTTGTTTTTTTTTTTGGTTGGTTGTTTTTTGTTTGTTTTTGTGGGTCAGTAATCTCTCTCTTCTACCCAAGTTCAGACAGCAGGCATTGCACTTGCTTGAAAGCCAGTGTTTTGGAATGATACAATATCCCAAAAGGTTGACTTCTTACCAGTTGTCCACAGCTTCTATCACCCAGAAGAGAAAAACAAATCTGAAGGAAGTACAGCAAGGTCTGAAGCTGGCATTCTGAGATGGTGTGATGGAGGCATAAGGGCTGTTAGGCCATTACTAAGTTAATTATTATTACAGTAGGTTTCCCCTCTAAGTGACAGACATAAGAAAGACTCAATATATACCAACGTAGTTTGCAATTAAATTTTGGATTTAATACAAATCCACTTGAAGCATGAGAGATGTCTAACAAATCTCTTCTCAGCAATAATGTAAATAGAACTGTTTATACAATGTAAAATGCTAATTTTGGACATAGGCTAAGTCTCATAAATGGCAAAATCAAAGCTTCCATAATGAAAAATATATATTCAAGTTGTCTGTTAACTTTGGGAAACACCAGCTTTTAAATTTCCCTTTCTAAAATAAAATTTGTATTCCCTAATATCTATGTTTTCTTCCCCCCTCCCCCCCATTCCCCGTCCCCCCCCCCCTCAGTTTGTGAGTCTTGAAATGAACCCATTATTCTTAAAAAAATTTGATTTGTGTGGTTAATTATGCCTATATGCAGCTCGACAAACCAGTTAAGAAATTTTGTGGGCATTTTCAAAAGAACACAAAAAGTACCTGAAGAGCCATCCAGACCAGGTAAGCAAGAATTTTTGCAATAGAGAATCTAATAAAAATCAAGAGAAGTTTTCCTCAGCTTCAATTCACCAGAAAGCTGCTAAATGATATATCTTGTATCTTACCTCAGGCATTTCTCTGACCTTTCTCTTTTCATCTTTGAGTATCAGAACTTGTAGTTAAAACAAAAAGGCAAATAAGAAGGGGAGGAGGGGAGGGAAAAAATAGGCATAGAAATGCACATACAGATGTCTCTAGAGATGACACTATTAAGGAATACACTTTCACTGTTCTCCTAGAAAGGATGTTGCTTTGATGTCAGAGCACCTGCTGTGACGAAGGTCTTCTTTGAAAAGTTTAAGGTGATATGTTTTTGTACAGCTTTGTAACAAGATCTTCTTGGAAAATGAGAGATGTTGAAAGCTGATGTTAGAGGTAATTCAGTAGGTGACCAGCTGGATTGTGCCACCAGGCATTACACTAAGAAGAAACCAGCCATAGGAGACAAAAAGGGACAAACTGCTTCTTTCGGCAGTACTATCAGCTTTTACTAGCTTCTGGTGCTGGAAGGGAAAACTTAAGTTTCTCCGCACTGTTCAGGAAAGAGAAAATGATCCTAGATATCACTACTGACTAACAAAATGCTATCTATAAGCAAGAGGATGTTAAACTGTTTTGTTTAACTAAGCTTCTTTCAACTGTTAGATTATTTTCTAGCAAAAAGAAAGATTTGGTAGGCCATCTTCAAGGTTAAGCAAAGCACATGGCTTATTTTGCATTTCACAGGAGAACTTAGATGCTTAAAATTAAGCATGTGCTTTGTTGAATCAGGGCCTTACTGAAGGTCACTTAGGTACGCATAAAGATAAGCATATTTGCACAACTCTTCATTAAAACGCCATTCAAAAGCTAAAGATCAATAACAAAAATTTATGGTATACCAAATCTTTGGTTCAAAAGAAAAGTACTGCACTATACAAGCATGGATTTGGTGGCATTATTCATAAAGAAGGCTTCTGCATCAATTACATATAAGATAAACTCAAAACCTCCAAATAAAATTTTTAAAACTTTAATCTTGGATGCAAGATCATTATAGCTACCTGTGCCTAGTATTGCCTTCTAATCAAAAATGATAAATAATAGATGTGTTTTTCTATTATTTTATACTTATTCATTTTCAGAGATCTCAAATACAGACTTTTATTTAGTTTCACAATACAGCAAGGAGTAAGGCTGACATTTATGAGAAAAACTGATTCAAAACTGCAAATATGTGAGGTAAATATGAGGTAATTGAGTTATGCATAATCCAAACTTTGAGATATGTAATTTTAAGTGGATCTCTTAGAAATAATGTTTTAATTTATTGAATAATCTCATTTTGTTGGATTGGTAAAATATATTATTAATCATTGTAAAAATCTATGGTTGCCAGTTATTGCATTTTATTAACATATTGTAATATACTATTACTATACATAATTTTCTCACAGTAAGCTGATTTTTAAGTTATCTGGCATTAACTTTGAAAAGCTTAATATATGCATCTTTTTATCATCTTAGTAATAACTGTTTAGAAACTAAGCATGTTCCAGTATTTCAGTCACATACTGAATACTTAGCAGGATATCAAAAGCAAAATGCTGCAGAGTACTTATAGGCATGTCACAGTTACATGTGCAAATGCAGCAACTAGTTGCAACAACTGCTGCTTAGTTGGTGCTCTAAGTCTGCAATTGTGGCAGGTAGATACTGTACTGGAATACTTAAATGATACCTCTTGGACAATCCATTCACTTGTCTTGCTTGCACTGTATGTTCAAGTAATTCAGTCCTCATTCTTTCGTAGGCTCTACAACTCATTAAAATTGTGTACAGTGCAGATACCCCATTTTGCAGGCACTTAGATTTTAGAAAAGCATTTCAAAAGTTTATTTTCAAGGAAATGTCAATTTTTTAAAATTAGATTCTCACACTACTTAGCTAAATCTAATAAATATTCCATGCTTTCTCACATCTGCTCTGCATTTAATGTTGTTTTAGACAGTGTTCAAGAAGAACAGATAACTGAGTTAGATTTTGTTATGGGTTTAAATGGGAAAAGGTGTTTTGTCTTGCTGATGATTTTACAGTTCTCACTTCTGTACATAAAGGTGGCTTTGATTGAGGCTACCAATCCAATCTCCTTGGAAGGAGAGAAATAATGCTATATAACCTTGTTGAACTTAAAGCACCTACATCAGCTTTCAGCTCAAAGATGCACAATATTACCAGACAGATTCCACTCTGCCTAGTCCTTATTTATTTACTGTAAAAATGAATATTGAGAAACAGGAGTGGGTTCAGAGAATAAGTAATGTAAGTAATGTAAGCTCAATAAATTCATCTTTACAAAAGAAATTGAAGCAGTGAGAGAATTCCAAACCAGCTGAACATGAACACCTCAAACTATAGAGGAAAAGCACAGTACAGTGACTAAAAGTAGAAGGAGAAAAATCTCAACATAGGGCACACTTTTTAAAAAATTTTAAGGGTAAATTAATTACTGATACTTCTTGTGAGACAGGGTAAATTTTCTATCACTCTCAATCATTAACTCAAGACTGAAACATTTATAGTATTAGGAAGAAGCTCTGTGCCTCTTGAACTTAGTGAAAATACTAACATTGACTTAAAAGACATTATTTATTATTGAGCTCTCTCTCAAAAAAAAAAAAAAAAAAAAAGGCTCAAGACAGTTATAAGACAGTTAATGAGGTAAGCGAGACTAAGACAGAAGGTGAAAGACCTGTGAAGGACATCTGCTGTCCTTCACAGCACGTGAACAATCCATGCCAACCTGAGCACTGCCATTCTGGAGGAAAAGGTTATACACATCTGTATCTTTTCTCTTTTGCCTCCTTGACTACAAACTCAGTTAATTCTTGACTGTAGAATAATCTCGTGTCTTCTACAGGCTTGCTTTCACCTATCTGTAGGGTGGTCAAGAACTTCCAATATCAGATCATTTTCCAAACCAATAATGCAGCAAATGCATTTCTTTTCTCAGCCAAATATTGATCTAATCATATCTTATTTTAAAGATATGCTTTGTATAATTCAGTCTGAAACTGCAAAACCTGCATTAGAATATCCTTTGTTTTCTCCCATGGGCTTAAATAGATAGCTCAACTCCTAGCAAATGCATTAGTTGTAGTCTGTTAATTGTAACAGGTCTTTATTTGTACATTTCCTTTTTGATGAATATCTTAAGGGCTCAGATTAAGTTTTAACTAAATCATATTAATGGGAGGGCTGACTTCCTAGAGAAACACTGAAAAGCAGGCTGAGCACCAAATATCACTCAGGTCATTTTTCATCCACGTTCAGTGACAGCCTTCTTGACATCACCATTAATCTTTTCATTCTTCATTGAAAAGCATCAATAAACTCTTGAGGGTATCCCTGATTCTTTGGCCCCCAGTCCATACACACCCGATCACACTCTTACTTGCAACTGTTATAATACATTTAAAATAGAAGTTGTGTGAAATTACTTGGATGGAAAGAAGCTAATAAACTGTCACTTGCAGTGGAAAAGTAATGCAAGAAAATATTTACATATACTATACATGTATATTAATATCATAATATTAAGAGAAAGATTTATATTATACAAAATATCTTTGGTCATCACCTTATGTCCCAGATGTTATTAAAATGTTTTTCATACCTCTTGACATTATTTTAATACGAATTTGCAAGGTGATTTACCTAGTTAAAATGCTTGGGCCATTATAAAATTAGTATATAATAATTAACAGGCACATGAATGTATCTTTCTCTTCTTGCAAGAAATTCCCTAGAATCTCAGAGAAGAGAGTAGTACATTTGAGGGGAAATGTGCTTCTCTCAGCTTGAGCTTCCTTCCAGCTCAGGTGCACCTATTTCCAACAACTTTCACTACAAGCTTCTTTGAGCAGTTTGCCAAGTTTGGCCAAACCTATCTTCATGAGGCAGTCAACATCCCTGTTCCTGTCCTGATCCCTGTTCTGCTAGCCTGTCCAGATTCATTCCTGTTTTGGTTCTGTCAGCCTGTTCCTTTTCTTCAATATCCCTGTTTGTTTTCTTCAGGTCCCTGTTCAAATCCCATTGTAATGTTTGGATACTTAAGAATAAATCAGATCTGAAGGCCTTTTTGAGAATAAGTACTCTTTGAATAAAGTAATAATTATTTTGATAAGAAAAAAATACGCACAGAGGAAAAATCATTAAACAGGAAAAAAATAGAATTCAATTGAAATGCAATTTCTTCTATTTTAGTTGCTTGAAATAGACATTTTTAAAAGGGAGAAAAATCAGATAAAAATCCAGTGAACTTTAAACTTTAATCCAGCTTCAGTGAGAATTTTATTTGTTGAAATGCTCAATAAAAAAAAAAATCAGAAATGTACATGAAAGAAAGTTTGAAAGCCAGAATCCAGGATATGTAACAATTTTGCAAAACTGGAGTTCTCTTATGATGTATTAGAGAGAGAACGCCCTATCTCCTCTTTGTAAAGAATGACATAATAGCCGTTTCCACAGTAACAGTTTTCTGCTTAAATGCATAAAATTAGATGTATAGCAGACTTTTTAAAAAGTTAAATACAACAATGAGATGCACACTTCCCACAGCACTACTGTATTTTTTTTTTTAAATGTATATTACGCTAGTCTACATTGTGCCCTGAGATACAATGTACACAAAATAAGCTAAGGCTAGAAAAGTTACTCAATACCACAAAGCACTAGACTCCTTTAAGAAGTGAGTCCAAAGTATTTGAAGTTCAGATGAGATATGAATCACTGTGTGTTTAATTTGACCTTAAAGATGTTGTGGAAACTTATAAGATATTCAACATTTTAACTTATACTTTCTTCAGCATTTTTCCCATCTGGGAAAAAAGAAGATTTTACTTTATTCAAATCTGTGCATGCAACATTCATTGTATTATCAACACATTGATAATATTAAATGTTCTCCTCATCACAACTCAACACTAATGACTAGTAAGCTTTTTTGGACACTCATTTACAGACCCTTGAAGACCTTGAATTCTCAGCAGTGACAGAGGTAACATAAAATGACCTGCTACATGTAGTGTGTTTCTCATTTAAGTAATAGGACAGGCCATGTCCAAATCACTGTCAGTGACACCTGCTTGCATAAAATTGAGGTAGGTAGTTTGATTTCTAAAATCTTCCATGACAATTACTGAAAGAGCAATCTCTTCACTGATTATGTCAAAATTATCCAGACATTTCTGTTTGGTTCATCAAAACCGAGAAGGAGTATTGAAAATATTAACATGTGCCATTTAATTAATGTTCAAAATGGAAACAAAAGCAGTGTTAAAGCAATGTTATTAAACATTGTCTAATGACCACCTACAAAAGAAAGGCTTGGAATATTGGGAATTCCATAGGTTTATACAGAAACTTAGATGACTTCACAAAGTCAGCTGATTAGGCTGACAGTCAGTACCTACATAATTAACTGGTCTGTATGAGGTCTTGTAGTCAAACCAAATAAAAATGGACTATTCCACAACAGCTACACTTCTTAGTATACATGTATGACGTGACATTTGCCTAATAAGAACAAATTTTAAAGAAAGAGAACTATATTTGGATAAGCGCAGATGTAACAGTCACCCCATTGGTTGGAGTAAAGCAAAAGAACAGATCAAGTGGCTAGATGTATTTGTACAATTCACACTACAAACAAAAAGCTTTGTATAGTTTCAGGAGTGGAAGTAATTCACACCCAGAATGATCTGCCAGATGAAGTGATTTCTCTATCATTAGAAATCCTGAATTTAAGATTGGATATTCTCTTAAAACATATGCTGTGCTTCAACGCACTCCTTCAACTTACAGAGAATACTGAAAAAAAAATGCCTGGCTAGTCTTGCAAAGACTACAAAGTCCATAACAGCTCCTTCTGTCCTTGAAATCTATTGCTTATGAATTACAGCATCTCAGCTGAAAGCAACCTTTGCGTGCCCTCTTGAAATACTAGCTCTTGAAATAGCCATACTCATTCCCCAGAGGAAAATGTATCAAAAAGAGTTGATCTGTATGTAGTAACATCATGTTCTCATAGCCGGGCTTTGTCAATTGGGCACAATCCTCCAGCAACCCATTGTGCAAAGGGACCATGAAAGTGCACTGGTGTTGAGGGCAGAAAACCCTGATCCCTCATGAATCTCCATGTGGTTTTTAGACTTTTCTCTTGCCCTCAGAGAACAGTAACAGGACTGGTATCATTCTCACTAACACACTCACTGGGCGTGGACTGCCTATATAGGTTTACAGTAAGGATCAATAAGGTCAGACAGACTATTGGAAATGGTACACAGCAGGGGTAGAGTGGAAGCAATAGACAGTATGCTTTAGAAAAATCTAAATGAGGAGTGTGGTGAGAGGCCAAGGCCTGGCCACAGGAGGCAGTACCTGGCCCCACAGCTCATCCACAAGCACCCCAAAGCCCCCTGTTCCTTACCTTGAGCTCCCTACTGCTGCCTGGCCTCCAACCTCACCAGGTACCTACTCCCAAGACAAAACTCCAGTCCCTAGTACAGCAACACCTGGAACCAAATCCCCACACAGACCTAGTCCTCCCCTTCTCATGCTCCCACAGAGAAACCCCCAGCAATGCCCACACCTGCCCTTAAATACTTACTGGGCCCACCTGGCCCTGCCCAGTGGCCTGCAGCTGGACTAATTTAAAGGTGTAATTGCTAATTAAGCAGTAGTGGTTAGTACAGCTGGGTTGCCCCCAGGCTGGCTGTGAGGTGTGCTGACTGATGAGTTTTAGGAGTGGGTGTCTGCACGCTGGCTCCTTTGGGATTGGCTTAAAGCATTTGGACAAGCTCTCAGACATAGGGTCTGGTTTTTGTGTGACCCTGTGTGGAGCTAGGAGTTGGACTTGATTATCCTTGTGGGTCCTTTCCAGCTCAGGATATCCTATGATTCTTTCTTGGAATGAATGAAAACAAGATAGTCTGCCATTTGGAGATCTAGAAAAATCTATAACATGTAAAAGAAAGAGAACAGTTAATTTCCACAGCAATTACAACATGAATTTGACTAAACAGACCACTCAACAAAATATCTTTTCAGGGAATCAGAAAAACGATACACAGAGAGAAAAAAAAAAAAAATCTGGTTAAAATAACAGAAATCTACTCAGTCAGAGCTTCACTGCTGAAAATGAAGTGAAATTAGAACAGCAAATCGTCAATAACCGTTGATATAATTGGAAGAATTTGCATGTAAGTCATAGCAATTGCACTGCTCACACCAAATCTCATCTTCTTCAAATGTTTTTCAGAGCTGACGTTATTAATTATTCACTTTCCAGTAGTGCACCTGAAAGTCTCAGTGTTTATCGTTGTGCCAGGTACTACAGAAACTCAGGGAAAACCGATTGTCTTCAATATTCAGTGTTTCAAGTAGTATTAATCAATAAATCAATAATTTTCTTAAATACTAATTACAAAAAATATCCATGTTCCATTTCATCAATGGAATATCATCTCTGTCCACAAATAGTATGATGGTAATGTCATCAGTATTATGTACAACCCATCTATTATTCTCTTAACATTTCCTTTCCAAAGTGTATCAGAAATGCCATGATTCACAAAAACTGAAAAGATTGTGCTGGAAAACATCATGGAAAACTTCTAGTCAACTTTCAGTGCCCCCAACCCAAATATAGATATACCACTAGTCTGGCTTTGGATTGGACCAGGTCCCTTCCGACCTCAACCATTCTGCGATAAGCACACAATAAACATGCAAGAGGTTTCTAACACAATAACTACTTTATATACTGTTACAGTAATTTTTCTCAAAATAATTGAACACATTTAAATTCCAATGATGCAATCCTATATCTTGATATCTCACATAGATACAAAGAAAAATTCTTTTTTGTTTTATGTGGAAAAATTATACCCCCAGCCACTATCCTCACAGGTAACATCTGTGTCTATTGATGCAAGTGTAATAGCAATTAAGGTGATCCTCAGATTACAGTCCATCTTTGCATAGTGATTGGTATTCCTCATCACGATGGGGGAAAACTTGAATATCTGTATATATCCAAGCTTCATTTGCAGTATTTAGTATTATTTGTATTTTGCTTGCCTCTTTTTTTTAACGTTGAGATTTCACAATCAAGGCAAGTAGATCAGAAACTTTCCATAAAGCTCTTCAGACTTTTACAGATCAGGTTAATTTTTCTAAAGAACTGTTACTGGAATGCTTTTTGATTTCATTAATCTTTCTTCTAATCTTTAAGCACTGACTGATCATCAGAACAGGAAAAAAATGTTATGAATAATATATATGAGCAATCTTAATCCTCTTTCTGCTTAAAAATGTCTATAGCCCAGATTGAGTCGGACATTTATTTAAACATTTTTTTTCTCATCACTAAGTTTGATATATCCAAAATTGCAAAAGACGGCCTCAGTAGCTTTTCTCAGTTACTTATATAACTTAAAGAATTTTGATGGTAAATGTTCACAATTCTATGAACTATATGCCAATTCATATACATTTAAATTAAGTTTTTGCAATATTTACAATAACAATTCATTTCAATCTGTCTTGTAGAAAATGTCCGTAAAGGGAAATTTACTACAGTCAAAACAAAAGTGGCAACTGGACAAACAGGAATTTCTTGCAGTATTTGCCCAGATGTGTTAACTAATAATTTTTATTCTTTCCATATGGGCAATATACCTGTGTTTCACAGAAGTCTGCTCTCTTGTTAGTAAACGCACTTTTTAGAAATATATTCTAAATTGTAAATTGTTTTTCTGCAGACTGTATTTTAGTTTTGAGATGCTTTTGGGGGGAGAGAGAGGGGAATTCAAGCTCATTAGTTATTGATAATGGCATAAGAAAAAAAAATCCACATAAAAAAATATTTTAGTAACAAAAAATACAATGATAATTTTCAAAGCCAAATGCAAGAAAATTAATAACTGAGATCTGGACGTAATTAGGAAATAAATAAATATTTTTTAAAATAATGGAAAAGAGAATAAGAAGAATAAAAAAAATGAAAGCTAGAGTTATACCGACATACACTGTGGTCAAGTTAACACCTGTACAACTGGTCATAAATTCCTCGAGTATGTTTTTAGGCCTTTTAACACCTATTTGAGAATACAAATGCTTCAGTAATAATTTTTTCAGTCCTGTGATTTTCAACCCTAATCATCAAAAATGTTATAAGTTCATAAATTACATGATTTGTGCACACATACAAAAAAAAAAAAAAAAAAAAAAAAAAAGGTTTTGAAGACATCAAAGAGAACTGAGTAATTCCTAATTGGTAAGAATCTTTTTCAATCTCACAGTCATGGGTCATGAATTTCAACACTCCTACAGTTTCAAAGAATTTCTGAGATTCATGGTTGTTGTTAACTGGAACTGCCATTTAAGAAGGTTTAAGAAAAATTAAGGAGTCTGCTATGCAACAGCATGTTCAGGTTCCTAAACATGACTTCTTTTGTCGTTCAGGCAGCACACCCCCACAGCCAGCCTAAGGGCAGGCCAATCCAGGGGCAGCACCAGCCACCATTGCTTAATTAGCAATTAATTAACCTTTAAAATTAGCCCAGCTGCAGGCCACTGGGTGGGGCCAGGTGGGCCCAGTAATTATTTAAGGACAGCTGTGGACATTGCTGGGTTTCTTAGTGTGGGGCATGAGGAGATGAGGGTCAGGTACTCAGCCCAGCATGGGACTTGGACCTAGGTGCTGTTGTGCTGGGGACTGGAGCTTTGCCTTGGGAGCAGGACCCTGGCAAGGCTGGGCAGTGTGAGGGGCTTGAGCCCCCCAGGGGGCTTTGGGGTGCTCATGGAGGGGCTGCGAAGCTGCTCCTCCTTTTGATTTTTCTGAAGCACACTGTCAATTGATTTCACCTTTCCAAAAGTATATATATATAAAGAAACTTAAATATATGTTTTTTTAGGGTCACTGCTACCAGTTGTTGCCAGTGGTTGATTAGAATGTGCTGTTACTGGCTGGTATTTCTGATCAACCAAAAAGAGCTAACAGCAAGAACAGCACATATAACAGAAGCTGTGTGAAAAGCGTGCAGTTACATGAAGAAAACAAAAAATTAGTGTAGGTGTTTCTGAAAGGCAATTTATGGAAAAAGACTGATAGATGTCTGGTTCCTTTTGATTCCCTGAAAATCCTATCTAATCTCAAGAAAATGACTTCTAGAAGTGAGAAAGGGCAAGCTGTTGATTGCTTTCCTAGAGTAAATGACATGCCAAACTCAACAATGGATTAGGCAGGACTAAATGCTAAGGAATATACTGTTGTTAGTAACTCCAAACTATTAAGAAGATGGCTTAAATGGTTTACTGAGTCTTTTCTTTCTCCAACTTCTATTGTTCACAGTCTTATTTTCTTCCTGTTTTCCACAAAACTTTTAAGAATGCAACACAAATGTACATGTATTTTTCTCCCAAAGAGAAAGGGTAGTCTTATAACCATAAAGGCTATGAAAACTTACATGTAGTGATCAAGGTAGTATGAGGATGCAGATGAGTCTTCCCTAACATACTTTACTGCATTCAGTTCTAGGGTCCCTAGTACAAGAAGGGCATGAACGTACTAGAACGAGTCCAGAGGAGGGCCATGCAAATTATGAAGTGGCTGGAGCACTTCTCCTGTGAATAGAGGCTGAGGGGTTGGGGATGTCAAACCTGGAGAAGAGAAGGCTCCAGGGAGACCTTTTTAGTGGCATTCCAGTACTTAAAGGGGGCCTACAGGAAAGCTGGGGAAGGACTCTTTGTCAGGGAGTCTAGTGATAGGACAAGGGGGAATGTCTTTAAACCAGAAGAGAGTAGATTTAACTTAGATATTTGGAATACATTCTTTTCTCAGAGGGTGGGGAGGCACTGGAACAGGTTGCTCAGAGAAGCTGTGGATACTCCATCCCTGGAGGTGTTGAAGGCCAGGCTGGATGGGGCTTTGAGTAACACGGTCTAGTGGAAGGTGTACCTGTCCGTGACAGGGGAATTAGATAATATTTAAGGCCCTTTCCAATCCATCCATTCTGTAATTCCATTGTCCACACACATGATTATGTGATGCTTTTATTCAGCTGATGCTGACATTGCACAAGGAATAGGTGTAGCCTTATATCTACTAAAGCCACTTTTCCTCCTATCAATAAATAACCGATAAATATAGGTTCCTATAAATAGCAATTATATCAGGAAAGCATTCCGAGTGTCACTTTCTATATGACTTTTATATATATTCACCTACTGTATTTAATGTTATTTTAAATATATAAACGTGCCATGAATATTTCAGAACACAATGTAATAGCTCCACTTCAGTACTGCAGCAAAGCTCTCTAGTGTTCACCTGTTTCCTGCCCCACTAAGCTCAGACACCTCCATATGAGTTAGAGGCTGTCATGTCCCTCCTATGTAAATCTTGCTTCATAGAAGCACATCAGAAGAAACTTCTGGAACCTCAAATATACATATATTGTTACATCAATGTGGCAGTTTTTCATGTCTTCAAACCGACAAAGAAAATATTTACCTCTATGAATAATTTCATAACAGTTTACAGTGTTTAAAGACTTGCAACACCCATTTACTTTACTATCAGAACTCTCCTAGTCAATTATTATTCTGCCCACTGATATATCACCAGAAATACAATCTGATAGTATTTTTATAAAATGGTATTTAACAATAATAGCATGCACATGAAATCTGACTTTATTTTTATGCACATATAAATTCTTCTGCACAAAAACCCTGCAGTTAACTGTTATTATGATACCTGTTAGATATCTTTTTCCTTTTATTGATGTGCACTAAGCACTTCTCAATGATGTTTCATGGTTTGCAGAACATATCTGAACTTAGCTGAGAAATGATTTCAAAAGTAGACTTCCACTGGGAATGTCAATGAGGTAAGGATATTTTTGACATATTATCTGCATTACTGAGCTTTATTTGATTTGCAAGATTAAAAGAGATTGAGTTGAAAGAAGCAGTGAGCTGCACCTTAATGGAACAATAACCTGACATCAAAGATGTGTGTGATTTGAAAGACTGAGTGGCAGCTGCTACAAGGAGATTATAAAATCAGAATCCAGGCTTCAGTAGTGTTTTGGTGTTGAACACAAACCTGTAGTTCAGTTCAGGAATAATTTTAGCACATCAAACGTAATCTATGCTGACTACTTTTTTGCTTCCATCTTTTTCCCTAATTAGATAATAATCAAGAGCTTACATTACTGTCTGAAAAACCCAGAGAGAATTGTTACTTTTCTACTTGTGACAGTGATATTTTTAGCCAAAGCTGTCTTCATCTGGGAGATGACTCAGTGGGGTGAGGTCAAAAAACAGCAAACTGGACATGTACTTTCCTTTCCTAGAAAAGGAAAGTAGAGAAAAATCACTTGTGTCAATCTCTCATTCCTATCCAGAATTTGAGCCTACAGCTCTCTGGTTGCTCTGGTTCCTCGGGTAATCTATCAGCTGGGAGATTCTTTTCAAGGTAAGCATATTCTTCCTTTTCATGCCTTTTTTTTTAATAATGTCTGACTAAATTTTAATGCTCAGCTGTAGAATGGGTTTGGCAGCTGTGAGTCTCTCTTGATTATGAGTTATGCTCCTAAATGCTTGCATGGTTGGGCTAAGGCCATGCCTTAGCACTTCAGCATTTTCTAATAACTAGTTAACATTTGCTATCAACTGCCAGTTTCATTCTTAGGCACTTGAGTCTCCTCATATTATGTATGGATAGCCCCGGCATCTTGGGCTTCTGAATTCAGCTTTGTGGCAAAATGCCTGAAAGAAATTGAAATGTTCTTTCAGACAGTTCTGTCTTTTACCTCAGTGATAATGTAAGAGAGTCTGAGGATAAAAGACTGATGAAGGTTGTAAAAGCATTCTGAAGGGCAAGTCAGGATGCTTTCACATTTGGGCTGTGTTGTTTTTTGGCAAGATAAGAGGCTTGAGGGAAGGGACTTGGCCACAGACACTCACATTCACCTTCTCTGGCTAGTAGTTTATCCAGAGGGCTGTTTCCTTTTATAAATATGTCAACTCGTGTTAAGAAAAAAATACATAATACAGAAGAAGAAAAATAACCATATACATGTCAGGATGGAGAACTGGCACTTATGCTTCAGTTGGAGCATTGGATCATCCCAAGGATATTGTCATGCAGGGACACAGGAAAACTGAAACTGCTAATTCTGTCTATAAGAGTTATTTGCACTCTCCTTCCCTTCTCCTTGTATGCCTAATTCAAGCAAGGTTTTTCAAGAGGTCTGGCACTGTGAAAGGGTAAGATCAATAAAATTAAAATACGTATAAATACCATTTTTATAGAACGCTTTTTTGCATCTTTAAAAACGTACACTATCTATGCCTTTAAAAATGTGGCTGTCCAGGCCCAGAACTGGTTTTGAAAAATGGAGGTAGGTTTAGAGTGATCAGGTCAGAGGGTAACAAGGTAGAAAACTTCAAAGCTTCTGAAATATTGTTTTCAGTACAAAAAAAAACCCTGTGTACTAGTCTTATTCTCATTTCATTTTTTATTACAATTGTAATCTGTTCTATGACATCCACATAGTGAGCTGAGTCTGTCTGTGAAGATAAATTATATCTAAATCCAAAACCTTTTGTCTTCATCCACATTGTTGGTACACGTGTAGGTCTGTATGATCAAACAGATGTCACAAGTGACACACTGTAATAGAGATGCCAGACAAAATCGGATGTAGGTGTCATCCCATTATAACTGTTCTGTACACACATTGGGGTTTCTGAAGATGCTAACAGCACTGAATAAAGATATTTTTTTTCCTTATAAAGAACAATTCTAAACTCAGAGCTTTGGGTAACAGTCAATTTATTATCAATAACAACAAAAAATCTTGTTTTATAAACAAACAAACAAAAAAAAAAAGTCCTTGAAAATATTAAAAGCCTGGAAAATAAACTCTGAAGGCAATGCAATAGAAAAATGTAAATGTAATTTTAGGGGGAAAAAAAATAAATTTTTACTTTCATGCAAATTTTCTTCCCTGTGGCCCAGCCTAAGTATATTCCTAGATCTAGGTGGGAGCATCACACAGAGCTTCACTAATCAAACTGAGAATAGTTAATGTTGTTGACATTAATAGCTTAAAGTTACTCATTTCACTGTGAATCAAATGCTTCTCAGAGGAAACATACATGAGAGAATCACTTCCTGAGCTAAATAGGATACATCATTATAAAGGTTTGTTGCAGATTGTTGTTGTTGTTGTTGTTTTGTTTTATTGTTGTTGCTATTTTTAATGTGTATTTTTTCTACAAATGCGAGCAAAGTAATTAAAGACTGACAAAAGTAGACTCATCCACCATTAGGAAAACATTGTAATCACACAGTGCTTATAATGAACCATGGTGTATAAATCCCAGTAGATCTAGTCAAAATGTTACATTTTCATAAAACTGAACATTCCAAAATGTATTTTAAGCCCACACCATGGACAATAGAATCCAACTTCTGTTTTACGTGAAGATCCTGATGGTTTCATAATGCAGCAATTATGTAATAAAAGAATAGAATCATAGAATCATTTAGGTTGGAAAAGACCTCTAAGATCATCAAGTCCAAGCATTAACTTAGTACTGCAAAGTATACCACTAAACCATGCAACTAAGCACCACATCTTTTAAATATTTTCAGGGATCATCCACTTCCCTGGGCAGCCTGTTCCAATACTTCATAGCCCTTTCACTGAAGAAATTTTTTCTAATATACAACCTAAATCTCCCCCTGAAAATGAGGCTATTTCCTCTTGTTCTATCACTTGTTGCTTGGGAGAAGAGACTAACCCCCTCCTTGTTAAAACCTCCTTTGAGGTAGTTATAGAACGTGATAAGGCCTCCTTTTCTGTAGGCTAAATAGTCACAGCTCCCTCATCCACTCCTCATAAGGCTTGTTCTCTAGACCCTTCACCAGTTTTGTTGACCTTCTTTGGACATGCTCTAGAACCTTAATATCCTTCCTGTAGGGGAGGACCCAAATCTGAACACAGTATTCGAGGTGCAGTCTCATCAGAGCCGAGTATAGGGGGACAATAACTTCCCTAGATCTGCTGGCCACACTTTCTCATACCAGACAGGATGCTGTTGGCCTTCTTGGCCACCTGAACACACTGCTGGCTCATATTCAGCTATAACCCCAGGTCCCTTTCCGCCAGGCAGCGTTCCAGCCACTGTTCCCCAAGCCTGCATGGGGTTGTTGTGATCCAAGCATAGGACCTGGCACTTAGCCTTTGTTGAACTTCATGAAGTTGGCCTCATCCTGTGAATCTAGCCTATCCAGATCCCTCTGTATAGCCTTTAAGAAGACTTTAAGCACTCCCACCTAACTTGGTATAGTCTGCAAACTTACCAAGGGTGCACTTGATCCCCTTGTCCAGAACAAAGATATTAAAGAGAACTGGTGCCAATACCGAGCCCTGGGGGGCACCACATTTGGCCACCAAATGGATTTAACTCCATTTACCACAATGCTTCTGGCCCAGCCACCCAGTCAGTACTTTACCCAGGGAATTGTACTCCCATCCAAGTCTTGAGCAGCCAGTTTCTCCAGGAGAAAGCTGTGGGAAACAGCGTCAAAAGTTTTACTAAGTCTATGCAGACATCCACAGCCTTTCCCTCATCCACTAGGCAGGTCACCTTGTCATAGAAGGAGATGAAGTTAGTCAAGAAGGATTGGCCTTTCAAAATAACGTGCTGATAGGGCCTGATCACCTGGTCGTCCTGTACATGCTGCATGACAGCATTCAAGATGATCTACTCTATGACCTTCCCCCACACTGAGGTCAGACTGACAGGCCTGTAGTTTCCCAGATCATCCTTCCAGCCCTTCTTGGATATGAGCATCACATCTGCTAGCCTCCAGTCAACTGGGACCTCCCCATTTAGCCAGGGCTGCCGATGAATGATTGAAAGCACCTTGCTGAGCACTTCTGCTAGCTCCCTCGCATGGATCCCATCTGACCCCACAAGATTTGTGTAGCAGGTTGCTAACCATTTCCTCTTGGATTACGGGGGTTTCATTCTGCTCCCTGTCCCTCTCTATCAGCTCTGGGGACTGGGTACTCTGGGAACAACTGGTCTTGCCACTAACAACTGAGGCAAAGAAGGCATTAAGTACCTCAGCCTTTTCCTCATCTCTTGTCACTGTTTCCTCCCACATCCAATAAAGGACACAGATTCTCCTTAGTCCTCTTATTTAATTATTTATTTTAACTAATGTGTTTATAGAAGCATTTTTATTGTCTTGAACAGCAATATCCAGATGAACCTTCGGCCCTTCCAATTTTCTCCTTGCATAGCCTCATCTTTGTAATTCTCCTGTTCAGCCAGGCCAGTCTTCTTCCCTGCCAGCTCAATTTTGGGCACAAACGGACAGCCTGCTCCTGCACCTTTAAGATTCCCTTCCTGAAGAGTGTCCAGCCTTCCTGGATTCACAGAATCACAGAATCACAGAATTTTTAGGTTGGAAGAGACCTCAAGATCATCGAGTCCAACCTCTGACCTAATACTAACAGTCCCCACTAAACCATATCCCTAAGCTCTATATCTAAACGTCTTTTAAAGACCTCCAGGGACGGTGACTCCACCACTTCCCCAGGCAGCACATTCCAATGCCTAACAACCCTTTCGGTAAAGAAGTTCTTCCTAAGATCCAACCCAAAACTCCCCTGGCACAACTTAAGCCCATTCCCCCTTGTCCTGTCACCAGGCATGTTGGAGAACAGACCACCCCCCACCTCGCTACAGCCTTTACGGTACCTGTAGAGAGCGATAAGGTCACCCCTGAGCCTCCTTTTCTCCAGGCTGAACAAGCCCAGCTCCCTCAGCCGCTCCTCGTAGGACTTGTTCTCCAGGCCCCTTACCAGCTTAGTCGCCCTTCTCTGGACTCGCTCGAGCACCTCGATGTCCTTCTTGTAGTGAGGGGACCAAAACTGAACACAGAACTCGAGGTGCAGCCTCACCAGAGCCGAGTACAGGGGGACAATCACTTCCCTAGACCTGCTGGCCACACTGCTTCTTATGCAAGCCAGGATGCTGTTGGCCTTCTTGGCCACCTGAGCACACTGCTGGCTCATATTCAGCCGACTGTCCACCATCACTCCCAGGTCCTTCTCTGCTTGGCAGCTCTCCAACCACTCATCTCCCAGCCTGTAGCTCTGCTTGGGGTTATTGCGCCCCAGGTGCAGGACCCGGCACTTGGCCTTGTTGAACTTCATGCAGTTGACCTCAGCCCATTGGTCCAGCCTATCCACATCCTCCTGCACAGCCTTCCTACCCTCGAGCAGATCAACACAAGCACCTAACTTGGTGTCATCTGCAAACTTACTGAGGGTGCACTCAATGCCCTCATCCAGATCATCGATGAAGATATTAAAGAGGACCGGCCCCAGCACCGAGCCCTGAGGAACGCCACTAGTAACCAGCCTCCAACTGGACTTGACTCCATTTACCACGACTCTTTGGGCCCGGCTATCCAGCCAGTTTCTAACCCAACGAACTGTGCGCCAGTCCAAGACAAGAGCAGCCAGTTTCTTGAGGAGAATACTGTGGGAAACTGGTGTCAAAAGCCTTGCTGAAGTCAAGGTAGACCACATCCACAGCCTTTCCCTCATCCACCCAGTGCGTCACTTTGTCATAGAAGAAGATCAGGTTCGTCAAGCAGGACCTGCCTTTCATAAGCCCATGCTGACTGGACCTGATCGCCTGCTTGCCCTTCAAGTGCCGCGTGATGACTCTCAAGATAATCTGCTCCATGAGCTTCCCTGGCACTGAGGTCAAACTGACAGGCCTATAGTTCCCCGGGTCTGCCCTCCGGCCCTTCTTGTAGATGGGCATCACATTTGCTAGCCGCGTCCAAGGGACTCTGCCAAACAGTCTCCTAAACAGGCCAAAGGCTGCCCTCTGGAAGTCCATGGTGGCAGTTCTGTTTAACCCTCTCCTTACTTTTCCAAGAATTGAAAAGGCTATTACTTAGTAGATGGCGTCAAACATTCATATCACCCACAAATCCTTCTCTGTTTGCAAGCAATTGTGTAGTATCAAAATAATTTGAGTCAGGAACAATATTACTTTGAAGATTTCTCTTTTTGAAAAATATCTGCCTACATAAATAAATAAATTTTGAAATCCAATAAATTTTTCTGTTTTTTACAAAATCATATTTTTACAACTAAAAAAAATGCACTGAAAATATTGGAGTCAGAATTACAAATGGGATAGAAGCCTTACATGTTGCAATTACTGCATATGTAGTACTTAATGAAGCTGTAAAAAAGGATAGTGAATCCTACAACTGTTATTGCTGACCTAACATTTTCACTACCAAGACTCCTGACCTTGCTCCAAATGTTCAACATGTTCCATCTGGTACACACAGAGATAATATCACTGTCATCTCAAGTATTAGATCAGTTGTTGTTCCCACATGACTGTGATCTACAGAGGCTCATATTTTATCATTACAAGCAATATTATACAGAATATTATCAGCTGCCTAACAGAACATTTTTTATATTATATAATACATCATCAAACCTCTCCACCTATGCCTTGATTTAGTACATCTTCACTGACATAGTTTATCTTCACACTAACCATTATTTAAAACAGTTTTCTAAAGCAGTTGTTAAAGTAGTTAAAGCAGTATTGCTGTGCTACATTACCAGTTCCCTGAGTCACTTAACATTGCATCCATTCCCTCAGATTTCTGTTACCTGTGAATTTCAAAGTCTTTCAGATAAATATAAATTCATCTAACTCTCATAATTCATTTTTTTAGAATTCAAATAACTCTCTGATCACCTATGATGTTATAATGCTACGTCAAAAATTCAAATCTATGTCAGAAGTAAACTTTTAACATGAGGGGCAGAATGGTCGTGGCCTTCTTTTACTCACTGTTAGCAAAAAATTGCTAGTTTTGACTGAAGTAGAATGGATACAGCCTTATGACTAAAGTCATAATATGCTTCTCTTTCTCAAACCACTTCTCAGAAGTGGTTATTGGGTTATATGTTGTCTGCTAAGTACTACCAGAACATTGCAATTTGGCTGTGAGAGCTTGCTTGCTTTGTCTGGGAAGGATTGGACACATTTTCAGGTCTAGAGGTTTGGGTTTGACAACAGTTCACTTACAATGATGTAGACAAATAGAAAACATTTTATAAATCGCACATATTTTATCCACATGCTTATGTAAATAAAGATGTTTGAAAAAAATGTTTTTCGCTTCTAACCTTGAAAAATCTCAATCACATATCAATATAACTAGACCTGAAAATGATTCAGAGACATATTCTACTCTAGCAAGAAAAGGATATGCAGAAATGCATGCAGATGCACTCTGTATTACTATGTAAGACAGAACTATATGTATGATTAAACAGGATTTCAGATATTTTTACATCATTTGTGTTATTAAAAAATAACTTTGTTATTCATGTATAGATATGCATAAATCAACTTTCATTAAAAAATATGTTTTAATCTAGGGTTAATGCTGTAACAATTTAAATATTGTAACACTGCACCAATTAATTTATCAGGCAATGGATTTCAAATTAATATGACTGTCTTTCATTTCTTTTATTCTGTTAATATTTAAGTAACTGCATAACCATATTAAAACTAGGCTGATATGAATAAACTAAAACAGACCGAGGAGCAAAACTGAAACTGGCATGGATTGGACAAACAAATGGAAAAAATAAATTGTTCCTTAAATTTCTTCAGAAATAAAACAATTTAACTAGATAAATAATAGGCTTCCATCTTATAAATAGATACATACATTTAATCAAAAATCCAAAACAGAACACCATAATAGGTTCTACAGAGAAAATTAATTCTATCCTTGCCTAAACCATGACAATAGTAAAAACATATTATATCTGAGAATACAAAGGCTTGGTATACAGATTTTGATTCCACCATCTCACAAATTCTATCCAAACATGCTCTCTTTTCCTGTCATTTCAGATCTGCTTGCCATGATATATATCTGGAACCACACATGTAAGTTTCTTTAATTGAGCTTGAGTTTTCACTGCTGTATATCATGCTTGTTTTCTTACAAATGAAGGTGAAAGGCAATTACCATATTAATTTCTCTGGTTATCATACTGCAGCGGGTTTACATGGCAAGGTTTGGTAGTGGGGGGAGGGAGGGGAGGGACATAGGTGTGGCTACTGTGAGAATTCAGAAACCGTTTCACATTAGATAAAAGGTCCGCTACTGGCCAGAGCCAGGCCAATAAGCAATGCTGTTTGTGCCTCTGTGAGAGCGTATTTAGCAAAGGGGGAAAAAAAAAAAAAAAAAAAAAAAAAAAAAAAAAAAAAAAGCATAACAGCAGCTGAGAGAGAGGAGTGAGAAAACGTGAGGGAAACAGCCCTGCAGACCCTAAGGTCAGTGCAGCAGGAGGGCAGGAGGTGCTCCAGGAACACAGCAGCAGTTCCGCTGCAGGCTGTGGAGAGGCCCCTGGTGGAGCAGGCTGGCCCCTGCAGCCCATGGGTCCCACATGGAGCAGATCTCCACGCTGCAGCCCATGGAGAGCCCCCGCAGGAGCAGGCCCCAGGCTGGAGCTGCTGCCCATGGGGGACCCATGCTGGAGCAGTTTGCTTCTGGGAGATGGATAGACCCCGTGATACGGAGCCGTGTGGGAGCAGTTCTTGATGAGCTCCTTGTGGAGCAGGGGCGGAGAGTGACTGTGAAGGAGCAGTGGAGACAAAGTGTTAGGGACTGACTGCAGCCTCCATTCCCCTATTCCCATGCGCTGCTTTGCTTGGGGGGAAGAGGTAGAAGAGAGTGGATGGGGAGAGGGTGTTTTTGGTTTCTTTCCTTTTTTTTCTCACTTCTCTAGCTTGTTAGTAATATGCAATGAATTTTACCAATCCCCCTACTCTAAGTCTGTTTTGCCCATCACAATAATTGTTGAGTGATCTCCCTGTCCTTATCTCAACCCTTGAGCTTTTTGTCTTGTATTTTCTCCCTCTTTCCCTTTGAGGAGGGGGATGAAAGAGCAGGAGTGACGGAGCTCAGCTGCTCACCCAAGTAAAACCACCACACATACCTCAAGAAACACCACTAAACAAAGAGGTTGTGTAAAGAGAAACATAGTCACTGAATAAAAAAAAAAAAATGGAAAAACTGGGATAATTTTCGTCTAGAAGAGACAAGCAGAAATATGACACAATGAAAGCAAATGCGATGAATAGTTCAGTGATATTATATGGGGTTTTGCTAAGTACCTTTTTTCATGACAGAAGAACACAAGGGAATTGTATAAAAATGAAAGGCTGAAAAATCAATCTGGTAACAGAAAAACCTTTTCACCCAACAGCAATTAAATTATGGAGCCTCCTGCTGCAAGTTATTGCTGTTGCTAATAGAACAGTCAGGTTCCAGAAAAGGATCAAACCCGTAAAAATATAATAATGACGTGAGCTATAGTAGAACAAAAATATAACGAGAAATTTTGCTGGAGATGTTCTCATACACCAAAGCACAAAGTGTTTTCCATCAAAATGATCCAACCTTCTGTAGCTATAGTTACAGGTTAAATTTCAGGTGTAGGATCTTCTCAAAGATCACAGGTTCCTTCTCAACTTTTAAACCCCATATATGAACGTTCCACTATCATCAGCATACAACAGCTCAACCTTTTTGAACCAGAATGTTTGTGGGGATAGAAGGAAGCATTAGACTACTAGGAAATAATATATTCTTTTCAATAAAAAACACTGTCTTCTTCTGTTTTCCTTCATCTTTTCTTTAAACAGGTGGAACAGGATAATAGACCTCTATTCTGCATCTGTCTGGCAAATCCTGTGTCTGCAGCTCTCAGTGTCTGGCAAACCTGCTTCCTCTGTCTGGATATAAATAAGTTCAGACAAAGGTTTCTGTAAGGATCCTGGGTTTTTCCTACATTTTTAAACAGTTGTAAATCTGCATTTTGCAACATATCCACTGTGCTGATATACCTGATCCGGTTAATGCCAAAAACTACAGTATGAAAACACAGTAAAAGTCCTGTCATATCGATGCATAAAACTTAATGTCCTGTTTCTATTTGTGGTTTAAATACTGTTCATGTTCTGTGATTGAAAGGAAGTTTGCAGTGAAAGAAATTCACATAAGAAAATGAAAACCCTTACCTAGAAGAGGAAGAACTCAGTAATAGTGTAAAATCCTTTCTGTACATAGGATTTATTAATATTTTGCTGCTGGTGGCATTCATCTCTCTTCTTTAGACAGCTCATTAAACAACTGCTAAAGTGTTTAATAAATTAATTTATGATAATAAATTAACAGCTTACCCAAGATCAGAAACATTTTGACCATTCAATTATCCACAGTTCCCCAGGGCTCCCGTAGTACCACAACCTTATAGCTGGTAAAGCAGGCAATACATAAAGGATTTTTACTGATAATTACATTAGGTATATTGCATTTTTTTCCTCTTTAAATATGATGCTGCAGGGTTATGGACTCCACAGAATAGTTTCTAAAGCAATATTGACTTAACTCTAAGTCATTAATAATATAATTAGTATGATCTCTAAAGGATGCCAACCTGAAGTTATCCTATGTTTTCAAACTGCAAACATGAATTAAATATATGGCAAACCAACCTTACTGAGAAAATTCCATAGATATAACAGCACGTTTAAGACAAACTACTATGAAATCTGCACAACTAGAAGAAAATATAAAGTGTCAGTATGCATTTAAGAAGATAAAAGCATCTTATGCTGTCTTATAAATGTCTAAAGATATGTTCCGCTAAAGTTTGTAAGGTGGCTCAAGAACCAAAACTGCCTGGAGTCCTTTGAGCAGCCACTTTGTATACACCTGCAGTTCATCCTGTTGCATTACAGACAAGCCCTAACTAAATCCCAGAAAATTTATTTTCAGCTCTTTCATATTTGAACACAACCTTTATCCAAAATGTATTTTGGGAAGAAAGATCCTCTGGGCTATATTTTGTATATATTCTTTTGTATTTGATTCTTATTGGATCTTCCCAGCATCACTTAGGAGTTGTGAGTTGGTTGTACATAACTTCAGCAGTTTAACAACTCCAATTTGACCTCTGACTAACTTTTCCAGAAGCAGCAGAGGAATTCCTGTAAATGATCCCTCTAGAGAGTTTGACTGAAGGAAAACCTGGATACCCTTGTAACTGCACAGGGCAGTGGTGAATGAGGAGAGGTGTGGATGTCATTTACTTTGTAGCAAGACGCCGTCTCCCATACTATTCACATGTCCATGTTAAGACAACACAGCCTGGATGGATGGACAACCAGATAGGTTCTGTTTAACGTCTCTATAAGTGATCTGGAACAGGCAATGGAGTGTGGTCTCACCAGGTTTTCAGATGGCATTAAATTTGGGGGAACAATAGATAACCCTGTGGGCACACAGCTGCCCAGGCTTCACAGGCTGGAGGGGTGGGCCAGCAGGTACCTGGTGAAATTCAACAAGGAAAAACAAGTTCTGCAGCTGGGGAGGAGAGACCCCCCCCCAGAGCAATATGGGCTTTGGATGGCCTTCTTGGCTGGGGAGGAGATCTGCATAAATGCCCTGGGGTGGTGATAGTGAGCTGGGCATGAGCCAGCAGCACTCCTGGACTGCAAGGAAGGTCAACAGCATCTGGGGCTGTATGAACAGAGGACACCTATGTTAATTGCCTATGTTAATGGTAAACTATACATCTCTCACATGTGGAAAATAAAAAGCCTACTTATTTCAATTAAATGCTTTCACAACTCTCAAGTATGATCTGAAAGCAGAGCTAAATTTTACTTGCCTATCCTTATTTCAGTTATTAAGTACATATCCACAGAATGGAGTTTGAGGATGCAGATTCTTTTGAAAAACCTGATGTATACATTTCTGAGTTTCCTTGCTTTTTTAATATTTTTTAATAGTATTATTATTTTTTAATTTCTCTTGTATCTGCATTCTAACAAGCTTCCATCCCTTCATCTGATTCTTACCCAATTCTCATTCAGGTGATTCACATCACATGTCAAAAGAATATGGCTTACATGCTTAGATGTAAGGCACTGAAAGGAGACACTGAAATTATTTTTCTTCATGAGTGCCACCATAGTATTTGTCATACAATGTTCTCAAATGACTTCATCCTTCAAGATTATAGATGGTGTTTAAAGTTGAAGAAATTAATTAAAACTCCCATAAACTGTCTAAATATAGCATAAATAAATCCCTTTCCTGGGTACTCAGCAGACATATTCCAAACACAATCTGAAAAGCTCCTCTCATCAAGCTTCTTTTATTATGCTGTAATGAAATCTGTTATTCATGTATTCATGCATATCATCTTCAGATTCACATTCATTTTCTCCACTAATAAAACACCAACATATCAACTATCAACACCAAAACACCAACTAGATCCTGATTTCTCAAGGACCACTCTCTGATGCAAAAATTGGCAACCTTCTGAGGGAAGCATAACAGACTGCATTTTTCTTTCTCAACTTAGACATGAAAATGGTTAAAGAGAAAACTCAGTGAGGACCAGAAGACACTGACCCTCAGAACCCACAGATGCCTTATAGACAATGTATCAGCCTTTCTGACAGGCCCAGGTAGCAGGAAATGTGATCACAATAGGAGTGAGCTGCTGCTGCCTTTCAGTGCTACATCATCCTAGATGTTGTGTCTTTTTCAGCCCTTTTATCTAGCATCTACCACTGGTCTTTATATAGTTTTGCTCTTTGATAAGTTGCTGATCCCTGATCCATTATAAATGGTTGCATTTTGTGACAAGTTAGATGCACTCTATTCTCAGCTGATAATCTCAGTTTCAATCTTTTCCATGGAATGAATCAACACTTTCTACCACTACAATTTAAAAGGAATCTTCTCTCCAGGATTTTGTATAAATGAGACATATCTCATAAAGAAGCAGGAAAACATACTATCAACCAAATCCAGATTGCACGTATATAGATACAGCCTTCGATTAATAAGGAATTACTTGCAAGAATATGGACCTTGGCCATTCTTTCCACTCAGGAAATGCTGAAAGAGTGAAACAGCATGAAAACTTTATAATACCACATTAGCAATTTCCCATTACATACTATTAGGAACTGTCATATTACCCTTGAGTCCAGCACAATCACGGATCTCCATTAACTTAGCAGAGGGGCTTTCTTCTCTCCCTGACATAACCACTAAACTACACAATACCACTCTTTCCTTCTGTCAGAATATGGCTCCATCAGATAAACCATCTGGCCTGAAATACTTTCCTTTCCTGTTCAAAATCCATTCCATATTCCACCCAGAAGAGTTTTTGAACACAAAAGGGCTATTCAGGCCTAGCTATTTATCTGGAAGAGCAGACGTCTATCAACTGCAGATAGACTCACAGCTGTGATGGTGTTCTGCAGAGAGTAATTTCCTACCCACAAGAGAAACTGTTTAATAAAAAGAAGAACCTATTCTCTGATACAGGAGGAAGGCTATATCACACAAGCACAAGGGTGTACTGTAAGTATGATTTCTCCTGCTATTTGTAAATCAGTGCCAGCTAATCTCAATCAGTTGGGGTCAGATTAACTTAAACAATTGCACATAATATTCACATCGTATTTCAGGGAAGGAAGTAGGTGAACTGTCACAGAGACTTCATCCTCCAAATTATTGATATAGACATTAGCTATAACTTACAGTACCACAGTATTAGTATATCATTTTAAGCAAGGTAAAGCTCTATGTTGCAAATGAATAATACTGGACCTCAGTTCAATAGGCGACCTTTGCATTAAAATTGCCAGGTGCATAAATCTCCATGTTTTCTCCATAAGAGCAAGAGAATCCTCTTTCTTTCTTTTATACTAAATGTAATTCAATCATCTAGAAAAAAAAATATAATAATAAAAATAAAAGTGAAAGAGTGCTGATAAAAGGCACATGAGTACAGAATCTGCAATAATTGCAGAAATTGCATTGCATATGACTTAATGAAAATTCTACTTTGAAACCATATATGAAATCCCAGATGACAGAAGACAAACCAATATCTGTAAGTACAGTAACTAAACAGCACAGTTATTTCCCTATTATCTTATTCTGTATCAAGGAGAAGATTGGACAATTTTTACTTTTATCTCAAGTCATTTTCACTTTCCAGTCTTTCTTGAAGCAAATAATCAAGCATTTCTCAATAAATGTTATTTATTTTAGTTCATATGAGAGGGAATTTGAATCACACAAGGGAATCACACAACAGTATGAATGCGGCATTGTAGAGTGCTATCATGTTCTTATTTACATACATATTTACAGTACATCACTTATCAATTATTGTTTCTCTTCTTTAAAGAATGTTATCAATAGAGAACCCCATGCTAGGTAATTCAACATCTAGCTGCCACTGGGCTCAGTGAGAAGCTAGAGAAGAGGAGCCATAAAGTCAAGAATCCACATATCATCACTAGCTGAAAAATTAAGCTGAGGATTAAGTAAAGCCACAGGCATACTCTGGAGCTTGCTGAGATCAGAAGAGCAGGTAAAAAGCCTTCTGAGTCCTGGTCTTCCTAGCCACTGGTTGACTTTCATTAGCTGCAGTAGAAGCCGAGTGCCAAGTACACAGAGCAAGTGCAAGTTGCCTCCAGTAACCCTATAGCCCTTCAGCCACACTGCTGCTCTTGGTTAGATTAGAAACTATTGAAAGATTACCAGTTATGGGTTACTGAATTTAGTTCTGGCTTCTTCACTGAAATAATCCCCTGTAACAATAAAGCAACACGATTGTGGACAGGAACCAGTCACTGTCAGAGTCCCTGTGTTTGCCTACAGATAATATGTTTGTGAAAAGCAGAAAAGCAAAATCCATTCCTGTTGGCTTAGGGACACAATATGGCAGCGTAAATACAAGCTGGGTAGGAAAACGTTCAATATTGCTTTGTGGTTTAGGTCATTAGTTCCAATCCATTTAAGTTCATGGGATGGTCTCTTTCCAGAAAATGTTCAGGACCTCCCTCCCGCCGCCCTCCCTACCCCCAACGCCCCCCACACACTTTTTTTTCTAGTACATATGCCATTAGTAAGACAGCATATACTGAAAAAATGTAGTGACAATCTCTAAGTGATTTATGGTGGCCCAGAAATAAGAGATGCTTGGTTTTAGACCATCTTATAAATGTTATATACAATATAAGACTTTTTATATATCATTTGGAGCATATGAGCTCAGATTTTTTGCTCTTTTCCTTAAAACAAGGTGTACACCTTTTCATGTGTGTTAATTTCATTATAGATTTTTTTTCTCTTTCCAAGAAACAAATGTTCTCCATCTCAGCCTTTATTCTCCTTTAGGAAAACAGTGAATTATTTACTTCTACCTTTTATTTTTGCTGCCTGTTATGCCTTTTTTTTTTTTCTCGCAACACAAAGATTCCCTCCTGAGCTTCCAGGATTCCTGTCTTTCAGGCACCATCTTCTGCTACTGCAGTGTTTATTTTTTACAGTAAAATAAATATAAGATGGTGGCTTTCACATGACCATTCCCACCTTGATAATCCAAGCACTACAGTTAGATTCATGGATCAATGTCTGACTTTTCCCTGCTGATGTTGAGTCTTTGTAATCTGGTTTTATTGTGGAATTCAGAGGATTTTTTTCAATTACTGTGGATTTTTTTAATATGGGGGAGGGTTCATTAATTCATGGAATCAGTTGGTAACCTACTCCCAGCACTGTTTCAGGCCATATGCTTTTATGTATCTCGCCTTACACTCCCTTTGTCAGTTTAAGACTGGACTACAAAGCTCTAACTCTTACTTGTGGCAGCAGTGGCAGTACTATTAGCTTTAATGAGACTGCCCATGCAAATAATCATTTGCTACTGATGTTAGGAAGTTGCTAAGAAGTAAGTGGGTTCAAATGCACATGCTCAGTCTGCAAAATCAATGGGAGAAGGATGAAAGGCATCTGCCAGCATTCTGGGTGCTCAGCAAAGTAATCTGAAGCTGGATCTCAACATGATTTTGATGTCTATATATACTACAGAACACTACAATGTCTATGACTTGCATCAAGCTGACAGTCTCCCTGCCTGAGGAATCTCTGAATAGTATAATAAGATACATATTTTGTGTTGCTATTTACCATTGAAATAGCATATATCTTTTATATGCTTCAACTCCCTGGAATGAGAGGTAATAAAATCATTAAGATGAGACTCTGGGCAACTTCCAGAAGTGGAGTATGTTATACATGACAACAGGAGTAAAAGGCTAAAATGAGAGTTGCTGTAACTCATGCAGCAAGAAAGCAGAGGTTTCTAGTGCAGCAGGGAAGCTGAAGGGAGCACTTAAGGTATAGCAAGCTTCTCTATATGAGTAATGCCGAAATAGCTGCATGGTACCTCAGTGATGCATATATTGAGCTGCCAGCATAAACTATGGTGGAATCGACCTTTTCAATCTATATATCATTTTCAAGGCACAGAGAAATAATAATTATGTCAAGCATTAATCTGCAGTCTGAGCATTTTATTAAATGTAAAGCTGTTGAATTAAAATAATAATCAATGCAAACTTTTATTTTTTAGAAGTATTATTGAAAAACTTTCCACTATAGGGCATCCTGGAGGTCATTTCTCGAAGGAAACCTTAAAACTGGTAGGGGTCATGACTATCATAACTGCCTACTCACCTGGGAGCAGACCAAATCACCATGGTGCTATTGACAGCATCCTCTGTGGCTGCATGCAGGCCAGCACAGCCCCAGCTGCTTCCAACATTCTCCATTGTAGGTTCAGCATCTCATACTTTCCATTAAAAGCTGCTATTTTTAGGTAGGAGATCAAATGCTCTTTGCACTTGTTTTAAGGAAAAACATTCAATACAGACAATCTGAAAACAGAGCTGAAACTCTAATACACTGTAAGCCTTCCATCACTTGTACAAGCTTAAATAGCATAGCTATTGGAAAGGACATGGTATTCGTTGTTGTTCCTCCCCCCACACTACTCCCCTCCTCCTTCCCCTGACTACAGACAGACAAAAATTTGGAAAATAAACAGCTTATGCAGGTGACAATATGATTTATAAATACAAGGGGCAAGGGAAAAGCATTCAAAAAAACAATATACAGATTTTTCCAGTGGGTACACAGTTCAAAAAGTGCCTGTGCCATATGGAACATTGATGATTTATAACCTGGGGACTTCAAGCTTGCTAAATGTACAAAACTATTCCCAGAATATTTATTAAAAAGAAGAGCAGTTCCCTTGCAGAATAGCATTCAGTATACTAATTTCCATGTTTAAACAGAAGAACAGAGAAAAAAAGTAAATCTATAACTTAAAGGAGCAATCATTGTTTATTTGTTCTTAGCAATGTGCTTTAACACTGCAATTTATCCTTATTTATTTATTTTCTTTGCAGTCTAGCTTGCAAGCACAGAAGATGTCAAGTAGTATTAGCAAAGAATCGAAGGTCACAGGCTGCCGCTGGCTACTGTGGCGTGAAGCTGACACTCAGTCAGCTGGGTGCAGTGTGCTGCCTTGCTGATGTATGGAAGCTCCTACAGTGCAGAGTGAAGAGCCAAAAGCACCGGGCATGGCTGCATTGCACACAAAATGTGCTATAAAGACACAGAGAAAAAATGATTCAGTACACATGAAACGTGGACTTTGTAGGATTAAAGTCAAGGAGACTAAGTTCTCTGAAACTGGGTCTGTAGTGGCCCTGACCCGTTTACCTCTTGTACTCAGACATGTAATTTGAGCATGGCCCCTGCTGTCCCTTACACGGGGAGAGCTGATCGCCAAGGCAGACATTATAGAGTAAGACTGCTTGTCAAATGAAAGATGGCTTCTCAGATACTACCAGTACTGTCGTCCTCAACGCCATTAAAAATATGCTGGAGTGCTATTGATACAGAAGCCATTAACATTCTTTGCAATTACATTATTGGTACTCTGCTAGTCATTTTGTACTTATTATGCCTACTAATACTGAAGTTATGAAACACTTATTGAATGGCTGTAAACAGCTGGGGAAGGAAAAAAATGGACAGGGAGAATGGGTGAAGTTAGGTCGAAATTAAGAACTGCATGGGCTCTAGTAACATCATGAGTGTCTGGTTCTTGCATTTCAGGAACTGACGGTGGTGAATCTTGGTCTTTATGTGGGGCACCATTCAGTGTAATTCAGTGTAGAAAGACTTATAGGATTGCAATCTAAATAACAGAGAAAAAAAAAAAATGAGTGCACCAATCTTCCAACTGTAAAAGCAGATACGCATTTCCATTTGAATTTCAAACATAGTCTTTCTTAAGATTTAAAATTAGTTTACCTTGTTTGGTTTTCTTTCCTATGTTCTTTCTGATCACAGCTGAAGCAGAAGACCTAACATACAAAAAGAAAAGCTTATTTAAATATGGCTGAAACCAGGAAATACCACCAATTCCAGTTTTCTGCCTTATTTCAAATATGTGAGAGATTCTAATTTTTTTGTTAGGTCCAGATGAGCAGTCAAACAAAATCCTTTTGTAATATAAATTAAGGACATCATGTTTAGATGCCAAACTTTTCAGTTGTTATTTGGAGAAATAAAAAATCATTTAGATATCACTGTAACAAACATGGTTCACAAAGTATTTGGGATTGCTGATCTCTCTATAAAGCCCCAAGGTTCATTGTGAATCTTGTGTAAATCATATCTCAGCTACCTCTTTTTAAATTTGCTACCAAGAAGACTGTGAGAGGGATACAGCCTCAAGACCATATATTTGAAACTTTAATATGCTATCTTACACTTTCACTAAGTGGTTTAATTGATTCTCTTTCCTGAATGATTGATGTACAGGATTTTACATGCTGTTGAATGCCACCTGTTCTATAATCATTTTAATTATTGAATTGCGTTGTTGTACCAGCACATAACACCTTCACCTTAGTTTAAAATGACAGGTCTATTTATACCTCTGGATGATCTTCTGTTGCATTACAATCTCAGCTGTCATAATATAAATCCAGAGGCCCCAGTTTAGGAACTGAGGCAAGGCTTCTCTGTTTCTTTATTTAAACTATGAGGTATGAAGCAGGAAATAGGAGAATTCAGGGACATTTTGTTTTCTGAGGTAACACAGCTAAAAGTGGGACTGGATGAAATTAGGCTTGTTCCGTGGCAGTTAAAAACTATTCATAGTAAAATGGGGGGCTGGCTACAGAGGGGACTGTTTTGTTTTGTTTAAATACGGAGTCAAAGAAAGCCACAAACCTGAGGGAATCATTTAATACATTTCACTCCACAATATAAACTCATTTCTTAGATCACACTACACAGCTGTGCAGAGTGTAGGTGCTTTCGGCTATAGCTGCAATAAAACCTTTGAAGAAAATCCCTCCTGTAAGCACATCAGTTGAGGAACACAGAAGACAGAATGTATATCCCACACCACTAGTATCGGTGATTCTTCTTTTACATGGTACTGTTTCATGTTTATCTACTAAAGCTTTCATAAACATTTTTTAAGGAGTTGCTTATGGTCAGTCTAATAATGACTAGAATGCATAAAATTAGTATTGCTCAGGACATATAGTGAAATATTTATCAATAAATCACAACATGAATATTTCATTTTTTAGATAAATTAACAAGTTTAGCAAGGAATCTTTCCATTTTCAATGTCATATCTTTGAGACTCAGCTGTTCATCTATTAAGGTGAATCCCCCTTCACACTAACTTGAATATGATGGGTAAGTCTATTTAATATAGAAAAATCTCAATAAGAATGGGAAAAGGGCTGAAGCATATTCCTTAGTGGTGCCTGAACATTAGTTTAATAAAAGTATTCCAGGAATGAATGAATAAATGAATACTCTGTTCTCCGTATTCTTACAATGCCTTTAACCACTTGGGTTGGACTGAAGTCAGACATAAGTAAAGAATGCCCTGAATTCTCAACTTACATTGAGATGGAAAAGCTACCTGGAAATTGAAAGGAAAACCCCCAGCTGAGTTGCATATATTGTTGTTTCATATGACACCAGAACGAGCTGCAACTTCTTGATTTGCTCTTTTACTGTAACAGATTCACAACACCAGCCTTCATTTTATCTCTGAATCTAAAATAATATATGCAGCTTTTATGTTGTGACATTAAAATAGGCTTTCCTGTGACTGCTGCCGCTTTATAGCAAAATTTTATTTCCAGATGTAAAACTCTGGAAGTGACCTAAATCTATAACATAAATCTACAAGTAAGACACAGGACAGCTAAGCTAAAACAAAAAGCAACTGAACAATAGAATGAAAGAGAATATTCACTTTATGTCCTTGTCTTCCTTGAGACCTAAACTCAAATCCAGGCTTGGATCATAAAATAAAATGAGTTTGATCTTCTCATTTTGTCATCCATTTGTGGAAACCAGGGTACTTCAATGGAGTTAACAGTCCCTGGTCAAGAGAAACATGAAACTGAAAGGCCCCAAGTGTTCAAAGCAAGCAGATGGAGGGTGAGTTGGGATAAATTGCATTCAGTCATTCTTCTCCTTGGGACCATATCTGACACAAGCCAGCACAACTCATCTTTATTTCAGAGATGGTGTAATAGACCAAATAATTCTCAAGATGATAATTGGCTTTAAAATTATTAGCAGAACAGACCTAGCATTGACCATGAAATGGCAGCAGCTCCTCAATATCTAAGAAATGAATGCATATATACTTTAGTAGCAGTTTCTTTAGCATTTTTAAGGACTGAAAATTCTAGTTGCTCCTCATTTGGAAAATATTATGGAATGAATCTAATTAAACAGACTGACTTATGTGATTTGTGGTTTTCTGAGAATAAGTTAATTTCATATTACACAACAGAATACATTTAAATTTAATTTATGAAATTTTCTGTAACGGCTTCATTTGGGAATCAAGAAAATAGATATTGCACTAAGGAAAGCACAGAAGCTGTTCTTACCTTTTGTCTTCCCAGTGCTTCTAATCAATTTGCTGGAAACAAGGAATATTGACAGGTGCATTCGCAAGCTCATGATCTTTCAAATCAAGATTTTACAGAATCACAGAATCATCTAGGTTGGAAGAAACCTCCAAGATCACCCAGTCCAGCCTCTGACCTAACATTAACTAAACCATATCACTAAGCTCAACATCTAAACGTCTTTTAAAGACATCCAAGGATGGTGACTCCACCACTTCCCCAGGCAGCACATTCCAATGCCTAACAACCCTTTCGGTAAAGAAGTTTTTCCTAAGATCCAACCTAAACCTTCCCTGGTGCAACTTTAGTCCATTCCCCCTTGTCCTGTCACCAGGCACGTGGGAGAACAGATCAATCCCCACCTCGCTACAGCCTCCCCTTTAAGTTACCTGTAGAGTACAATAAGGTCACCCCTGAGCCTCCTCTTCTCCAGGCTGAACAAACCCAGCTCCCTCAGCCGCTCCTCATAAGACTTGTTCTCTAGACCCCTCACCAGCTTCGTCGCCCTTCTCTGGACTCGCTCGAGCACCTCCATGTCCTTCTTGTAGTGAGGGCCCCAAAACTGAACACAGTACTCGAGGTGCGGCCTCACCAGAGCTGAGTACAGGGGGACAATCACTTCCCTAGCCCTGCTGGCCACACTGTTTCTTATACAAGCCAGGATGCTGTTGGCCTTCTTGACCACCTGAGCACACTGCTGGCTCATATTCAACTGACTATCAACCAATACTCCCAGGTCCTTCTCTGCCAGGCAGCTTTCCAACCACTCATCTCCCAGTTTTAGTCTCTTCAAGAGGTAGAATGGAACATGGAAGACCCCAGCATCACTTAAGTCAGCTTCTGCCTTTATCTCTTCTGCCTTTAGTGCCACAGAGCAACACATTAATTTTGTTGAATCATTTCACTTGTGTGACAACAGGTAAAGAAGTGTGGTCTTGGGAAAGGAAGAAATAACCCAAACTCCACTTTCCTGTTACCATAACTGATTTTCCTCTGATCTTTGTTTCATATACTGAAGTGTATGATCTAATCCCACAGTACCATCCATCTACTGGTCTTTTCCTTAAAAACATTTAGGGAAGTATGCATCTATTTTTAAATAGCAAGCTGGGGGACCAACTAGTTATGTTTCCTATTCATGTCAAGTGGGGTTTTGAAGTTAAATTACAAATCTTTGTGTTTTGAAAATACAGCTGCGAGGTCACTTTCTATAACATAGCCCAATGGTACCTTCAGTGAATAAAGGGTGTGCCAAGTAATTTAATGAAATGCACAATACTTTAAATGGTATAGTAGCAATAAGTCTGAACTTTAAAATAAGACTTTGAAAATAAAATTAAGAGAACCAGGAATTCACAAAACAATATTTTAAACATTGCATATAAAACAGTTGAAACAAGAATAGTATCAACTTAAAAAGCATGCTTTGTCCACTAACTTGCACAAGGTTTGTATTTCTTTCTCCTTTTTTTATTTTTATTCCACCTTATAGGAGACTTGGAACAGAAAGAGAACAGGATCTGATTCAATTTTCGCAAAGTACAAGAAAACTAAAAGGTACAAAAACTGGAAGTACTTAATGTATTGGAAACATCCTATTGTTAAATATTTGCCTAGAGAAATAGCTTTCTGTCCATTCTCTCCTACAAAAGCTATAGGTGCTAGTAATATTTATTTGCCATTGCTGATAACTCTGAAGTGATGAGCACTTTCAACTATAACTGTATTTGCCATCCATCATTATTTTTCAAGCATTCCAGTTCAATCAACCATTGACAACTGCTTATTTTTCCCCCATGATGTGTTGTATCAACAGCTCAGTAAAGTCATCAAACGTTTTACACATTTTTAAAGGAAAAACGGTCCAAAAATGAACACTTAATGCTCTCCTTTGCTAATAAAAATAGAAAAGCTGGTTTTACAAAATGGAAGAATTATCATGAACTATGATCTCTGCTCAGCGTCTACCATTAGCTAGTAACAAACAGGTTTTCTTTTCAGCTATAACTCTTATTTGTGCAGGATAGATGAAGTAACTTTAAGCATAACATTAAAATATTTTGCTTATGAAATGGGGCTTTCCATCACAGTGTTCCACCACAGTCTAACAGGTGTTCATTAGAATTAGACAAAGCTGGACATATACCGACTTTGAACAATTAGTTTTCACTTCTAGGTACTTAAGATTTCATCTATCTGTGAGGGACATACTGACGAAGAAAAACTTTATATCATATTATATGAACTAGACATCACTAATACTCAGCCATGAGGGACTGCAAGAAATGTTCCGCAGTACAAAGGATATTCTGAAATCAACAAGATTAATCAAAGAGAAATGTCATTTTCAGAGGAGAATGTGAGTGGAATGCTTCTGAACTCCCTATCTAATGTCAGGAGGATTTTGAGATGTGGCCCGGAAATCAAACCATCTGAAGGGAGTTCTCAGTGAAACACAGGGCTTCACATTATAGAGTTAAAGAATAGAAGAGAGCAAATGCTGTGGTGGCTCTGGCATACTGTATTTAACAAACCATTCAGAGTCTGACAGTTATTTCTCTGTGAGTCTTGTAAGTTACATTTGACTTTCAGAAGGACTTCCAGCCTTCATTTGAAGACTGCAGTACAATAAGACTTCAAGTGCTTCCTTTGTTCCAATGGTTAATCAATCTCACTTTTAAGAATATTGTCTCATTTTAATTTTAACTTGTCTGTCTGCAGCTCCCAGCCATTGGTTCAGTGTTCTGTATTTTTCCCCTGAAGATACTTATACATTATAATGAAATTATCTCTCAGAGATGTGCAGTCTCTGTAGGGCATTTTACAGTTCTTTTCTGTGCCACCGTTCTAGCATCCTTTTAAAAATGTTGATACCAGAGCAGTGCATGGTACTCCTGTACCAGGCTCACCAATACTGTGTATAAGAATTAAAATCACTTTCCTGCTCCCATTTATTGCCCCCCAGACCCGTTTATGCATCAAAGGATATGCCAGCTCCCTGCTGTATAACACCAGCATATGTTTAGTTGCTTGTCCACTGTAAACCCAAATTGTCTTCCAACACTGCTTTTCAAGATATAGTATCCCATTCTGTGTATATTCCTGATTTCCTTATTTCCTCTCCAGCTAAAAGAGACTTTTTTTGGCAGTGTAGATCAGACATTACTTTTATGAGTGAGGACATTGTTACTGTTACTTGGAGGTAGTAGACTTAACTACTGGCAGTTACCCTTTACAGATTAATATCCTGGACATCACATGGACATCTGTGATCACACTGCTATTAGAACATTAGGAGATACAAATATTACAAAGACCCAAAGACAAAGCAGCGATACAAAGACAGAGAAAAAAATATATATTCATGCATAAACATGCACAAACCCACCAACAATGATATATTTTAATATTCTTTATTATTTATTGAACTATGAATTTTAATTTTACTGTTTGGATATGCTTAAATTAAAATTTCTTTTTTTCATGCATCTCAAAGTTAATCACATCTTCTTTACTATACAGGTGCTTACATGTTTCACTGTAATTTTGTTTTCTATACAAAAGGTAGATTAAAATTATATTATCTCTATAGATGCTAGAGGTTCTGAATTCAAAATTCCATTTACTCCCACTTATGCAAGCCTATGCATTTCTACAGCTTATCTTGGTGCTTTTGATAGTTCAATTCCTTCAAAGGTGAATTATTGCAAAGACATCACTTTCAGGGAGACATCACTGTCAAGGGAGAGCTTTTTTGAACCTTCAGCCTGTGATACACTAACAGCACTTATAGCCTCTTAGTATTAGAAAAATTTTGAAGTAAAATAAATACCTTTTTTTTTAAAGTAATAAATTGAGAGGAGTAGAAATATTGTTACACTTCTGTACTATTTGTTTGGCCTAAGAGTTTATTTACATTCCCTGGAATGGCTTTACCTCAGAGTAGGACAACTATATCAGGTGATTTAGGACCACAGGCAGACATGAATTTAAACTGCAGTTTCAAGGCCCTTTTCTGTTGTACTATATATTGTCCTGGGTATAACGTTCACAGTCCACAAATTTTGAGGTGAATCATTGAACCATAGAATGGTTTCAGTGGGAAGGGACCTTTAAAGATCATATAGTCCAACCCCCCTGCCACAGTCAGGGACATCCTTCAGTAGAGCATGTTGCTCAAAGACCCATCCAACCTGGCCTTGAGCACCTCCAGGGACAGGGAATCCACAACTTCTCTGGGCAACCTGTGCCAGTGTCCCACCACCCTCAACATAATAAAAAGTTATTTCTTATTTCCAATCTAAATCTACCCTCTTTCAATTTAAAATTGTTGCTCCTTGTCCTGTCACTACAGGCTCTGGTAAAAATTCTTTCTCCGTGTTTCTTATAAGTGCCCTTTACATATTGAAAGGATGCAGTATGGTCTCCCTGGAAGCTTCTTTTCTCCAGGCTGAAGAACCTCTACTCTCTCAGCCTTTCTTCATAGGAAAGCTATTCCAGCCCTCTGACCATTTTTGTGGCCCTACTCTGGACATGCTCTGACAGGTCCATATCCTTTTTGAGCTGGGTGCTCCAAACCTGAATGCAGTACTCCAGGGGCAGTTTCATGAGAATATGGTGGAGGGGCAATAATCACCTCTCTTGACCAGCTGGCCGTGCTTCTTTGTATTCAGCTCTGGATATGATTGGCTTTCTGGGCTGCAAGAACACATTTAAGATCCCTTCCAACCCAAACCATTCTATGATTTCCAATTCATATCCAATTTTTCACCCATCAGTACCCTCAAGACCTACTCCCTAGGGCTGCTCTCAATCTATTCATCACGTGGTCTGCATCAACTGGTGACTGCCCTGACTGAGATGCAGGACCTTGCACTTGGCCTTGTTCAAATTCATGATGTTCATATGTGCCCGCTTATCAAGCCAGTCAAGGTCCCTCTGGATGGTGTTCCTTCCCTCTAATATATCAACTGCATCCCTCAGCTTGGTGTCATCCACAGACTTGATGAGGGTGCACTCAATCACACAGTCTAAGTCATTAATAAAGATATTAAACAGTACTGGTCCCAATACAGACGCTTGAAGGACACCACTCATCACATTTCTCCATTTGGACACTGAGCCATTGACTGTAACTCTTTGGATGTGATCATCCAGCCAATTCCTCATCCATCTAATGGTCCACCTTTCAAATCCATCTCTCTCCAATTTACAGGCAAGAATATTGTGAGGCACTGTATTGAAGGTTTTACAGAAGTCCAGGAAGATGATATCAGTTCTCTTTCCCCATCTACTGATGCAGTCACTCCATCAAAGAAGGCCACTAGATTAGTCAGGCACAATTTGTTCTTGATGAAGACGTTGGCTGTCTCTAATCACCTCTCTGTCTTTCATATATTTCAACATAACTTCCAGGAGGATCTGTTCTGTGATCTTACTGGGCACTTAGGTGAGGCTGACTGGTCTGTAGCTCTCAGGGTCCTCCTTATTACCCTTTTAAAAATGGGTGTGATATTTTTTCCAGTCACTGGGGACTTTGCCTGACTGCCATAACATTTCAAATACCCTGTGGAGTAGGATCTACATCTGCCAGTTCCCTCAGGACCCTTGGTTGCATCTGGTCAGATGCCGTGGACTTGCATATGTTCAGGTTCATCAGGTGGTTTCAAACCTGTTCTTCTCTTGCAGAGAGATCTTGACAACGTAGAGTGCTGGACGATCACCAGTCAAATGAAATTAAACAAGAGTAGGGGACACATTCTGTTCTGGGAAAGGACAACCCTGGATATATGTATAGACTGGGGAACAAGAGGATGGAGAGCTTTAATCATTATCTGACCATCATACCTGTAGAATCCCATCTTGTTATTCTTCACGTTACTCACTAAATTCAACTCAGACTGTCCCTTGACTTTTCTCATCCCATCCCTACACACCCAGGAAATAACCCTATATTCTTCCCAGGATACATATCCCTGGATCCTGTGCATTTCCTTCTTACCCTTTAGACCTCCAAGAGGTCTTTACTCAGCCATGCTGGTCTCCTGCCTTCCTTGGCTGATTTCATACATGGGAATTGAGAGGAAAAATTCCACTCCTTTATCCACTAATTCTTTAAACAACTGAATGTTTCATCTCCTAAAATTCAGGGTTGTGACGTTACATTGATTTGATCCATTCATTCTTTCCAAGTTCTCAAATAAGAACCAGAAGAAAGGAGCAGAAGAGACCAAAAGAATCACCACATATGGAGACAAAAGATAAAACATAACCTGGACTCAGTCCTTGAAACTGCTGTTTTTCACATTCATAGTTAGATAAATTGCCAAATGATTCTGCAGCATAGATCTTGCCACACTACAAGGTAACAACAGAAAACATCCCTACTAATTTGACAGAGGAAAATTCCTTGTGGACTCCAAATCTGCCAAGCCTGAAAGAGTCATTTCATAATTCTCATATTCTGCTTCAGAGAAAGAAAGTACGATTTATTTAATTGTGTTTTTTTTTTTTGTTTGGTTGGTTTTTTTTTTGTTTGTTTGTTTGTTCTTTAACTGTTTTTTTTTTATTATTTTGTAGGGAAGCCAACAGACCTTCTTAATCAGACCATCATATTGTTATAATGAATGAATACATAATGTTGTGATTTTTGGCACAGCTGGAAGAACCTGACAAGTAAGTAAACATCACTGTGAATGTTAAGTCTATGTCTTATACATCAGGGATGCAGAAATTTGAAACGGCTCTGCTTGTACTAAAACCAAAAGCAGAGGTTTTGATGAGTACAGAATATATCCAACCACAAAGCCACTGCAGCAGTGTGAAGACTTAATGGTGCACAGCTCCAGGTGCTCAGGGAGCTCTGCAATACCTCCTCTCAACTGCACAGACCCACCCCCAGGTCATCACTGTTCCTTAACCTAGGAATGTGCTGTCATTGTTTAAAGTCTGTAATCTGAAATACATGCTAAAAATAGAGTATAAAAATGTAAAACTCGGGACACAGCTACATGTACCTAACACAATATATCAGAATTTCTGTATAAATAAATACAACCCATTGCAAGCTAATTCTCTCCTCTCACATTATTTATGGTCAGTTATTTACCTCCACAGATAATGCCCAACAGATCTTTCCCTTCAGGAAAACTGGAACTGTCTGAAAAGCAGAAAACATTTGGCAGAAATAACCATAATGAAGATAAGTGTTAACACAACATGGTAAACTCAGTCCGGGACACAGGCTTTCAAACTGTTATTTCCAGCTTGCAGTTGAGAAACTGTTTCAGACAACATAAAAAGCTGTATCTAACACTTTCTGACAGTGCCATATTGGCTGGGACTTGCACAGAAAGAAGGTGTACATGAAAATGCAAGGATGATTTAACCTGCATTGCTACAAAAACTACTAAGCTATCAAAATAATCAGAAAATTAAAAACCAAAGTACTGAGAGAAACCAGCCAGCTTATCTTCCAGCAGCTTCAGCTAGAAGATCAATGGGATCTTGACAGGATTGGTATCATCAGCCCTTTACAGCTATTCAGATGTTTGTTTAAAGTGAATTAAGGAAAGCCAAGCTTTAAGAGAGAAAACAGAAATAGCGATAATAGAACAACTCAATCAAGTGAACAAAACCCTGTTATAGTCCACAGAGAGTCCAGAACAGAAAGGTGTGCACTTACCATTGATCGGGACAAATGCAAGCCAGAGAATAAAGGTTAAATAAAGCAATAAGAAGGGTACCAAAAGCCACTGAAAATGACATGAAAAAGGACAAGCTGTAAACTGGCACAGACCTTTAAAAGAGTGCTGTCCGAACTTTGTCTAGCTGATGTGTATATTGACAGCAAGCAGAGAGCTAATCTGCATGTAACAAAGGGGAATTCAGCCTTCCTCCTTCCTTTCTGTTGGAAAAAAAAAAAAAAAAAAAAAGTATTGATTTAAAATTGGTGTTATGTGACATGAAATAAATAAATAAATAAATAGAAATAAAAAAAATAAAAAGTCAGCTAAAAGATCTTCCAAATTCAGTATCTCAAGGCCTGAATACCACTCCAGTGCCTCTATCAATTATTTTCACAATGTACTTCCACAGCCTGCAGCAGGGGCAAAACCTGCCTCTGGGGGTAGGTACCAAGAGATCCGGATAATTGGGTTGGAAGAGTTTGCAGGTGCTATCCCTCACTTTGCACAATTAATTCATCATAAATTGATCTTTTATTTGTTTCAGTTGTGCAGGCAGACCCACAGCTTTGACTCTGAGACATGCAATTAGAATGAGCAGTGTGAGAAGTTATATAGTATACTGCTATGCACCAGTTACAAAACTAAGATGAGCCAATGAAAAATAAATAATATAGTTATTCACAGGATGTGATCGACCTTATTCCTCAGCAGGGCATTTGTGCATTTGTGAGCTGGAGGAAGATTTCAGTGCCTAAGACAAACGTGTTAAAAATAGAATAGAGAAAGCTACAGACAAGGGGAGTCTAGCTGGTGGAGTATGCTTAGTGGCATACAGAGAAAGAAGCCTTTAAGCCAATGCAGATGCCTTGCTACTAACCCTCAGTTTTTGTTTTATTCGTAATGGCATCATTTTTTTTCTAGGAAAAAAAAAAATAGAATTTACTGAAAAGAAATTAAAAAACAGAAAGTTACTTGGGAACTACCATTCCTCAAAAGCAGTCTTTCATAAGAACTGGGGTGTCTGTCAGACTCTGACCAGGGTTCTATCAGATGTATGTCTGACCTCATGCTACTTTCATATGCTTTCATATGCTACTACATATAGTAATATGGTAACTCTTCCCTATGTTTTCAGGTCTCCAGAAGTTGAATAACTTGGAATTTGGAAGTACAAAAAGCTAATTTGTCCCACCACCAAGTTCCAGCTCTTTCAGCTGAGTCTCGAATGGAGTATCATTTTTAAAGCTAATTTTTGCAGAATCTAGAGTCCATCGACAGAATAGTTAAGAAAGTTCTTCCTTCTTTATTTTTTTTTTTTTTTCAAAAAAGAAATGTAGAGGCTTTAGGAGACAGATAAAAATATTTTAGCTTATTTTCTCACACTTCTAAATTCTTGCAGGAAGAATATCCCAAGTTTGCTCCCCTCCTAGCTTTACCTTTATTTTGCTGCATGGAATGTAGTTATATTTAATTCTGTGTAATCAAATTTTATATGGGAAGTCATATCATTATATAACAGATATTTAAGATACCTTTTCATATAAATATGCTAAATGCTCTGGAATCACCATATTCATAGCAGCTTTAGTCACAGCTGGCAATATTAATTGCTCTAATTTCTGCTTCCATTTCTCTCTCTCATCTTTTATTTTGTGCTTACTCCTTTTTGGAGATAAAATTTTGCATTCAAAGTAATGTAACATTTCAACAGGAAAGAGCAAATGAGGTTATGGTTAAGACCTTCAGCTTACTTACATCAGAATCAAGCTGTACTCCAGAGAAGTATGGTGAATGTATTTGCACCTGCAGATTATGACCTTTTGCAGTTTGCACACCCTAGAAAACAGATGCATTAAATAAGCCTCTGAAAAGGAAAATTCCTTTGGAACCATGACCACTTGAAAAAAACATTTTTTGTGTTGCTTGGGCTGTAAGAGATAATTTAAAAGCTGCATCCTAGGAGAAGAGCCATCACTTCTGTCTCTTGCATTGCCACAAACACATGAATCTGTTGGGACACAGGAACACTATTGTGAGCAGAAGGCAGACAGCATCAACAGTGGAAATATATCATATATAAAAGTGAAATGCACACAAAAGAGCTATAAATCAGAAAACAAATTAGCAACAAAAACAGGCAGCTTGTCAATATCCATCATCACAGGAGCTAGGGAGGCATTAGACCTGCAATGTGTTGCTCTGATTCAGCAAACCTGCAAGTCCCTGATGGCTCTCATTTGATGGTCAGCACATATACGTACAATAGTTCTCCAACATGCAAATGAGCTCTGAGGAGACTGTTTCTGTGCATGGAGTTAGTACCCTGCATTTTTTTCCTTTACTAGAAAGGAAACATGAGGCATTTATAAATGGCCTCATTCCATCTATCTGATGTAACTAATTCCTTAGCTTTTTATTACCTGAATTTCCAGGTGATAAAATTTATTGCTCTCTGAGGCTAGACAAAGAAACTGACATGAGTGTATTCATGTACATATGCAGATGTATGTGAGGAGAAGAAAAAAGATGATATAGCATAAGAAAAAGGGCCACTAGATTTCATAATCTTTTTTTTTTCTTTTCCTCAGAAGCACATCATTTGAAATGATTTGCCTGATTCTTATATATTTACATAGCAATGAATTCTATTATTCTATATAGGAAATCACAGGGGGGAAATGAAATTAACAATCCCTTCTTACAGATATAATTAACTGATGAACAATAGTGAAGGAGAAAGAGAGAAAGAGAGAAGGAGAAAGAGAGAGAGAAAGGAAGGAAGGAAGGAAGGAAGGAAGGAAGGAAGGAAGGAAGGAAGGAAGGAAGGAAGGAAGGAAGGAAGGAAGGAAGGAAGGAAGGAAGGAAGGAAGGAAGGAAGGAAGGAAGGAAGGAAGGAAGGAAGGAAGGAAGGAAGAAAGAAAGGAAGATAGATCTTGGAACAGCAGGGTATCAGCTACTTCGTAGTAAACAAGTGATTATTTTATTCTATAACATCTTGGACCATGAAGAAAGCTGGTCTCCTATGCTACAGTTAACTTCATCACTTTCTGTCTATAAAATCCAATAGCAAAAATGACTACTGATACATTTTATAATTTGAATATTACAAAGGAAGTTACTTGAAATGCAAGAGATGAGTATGTTCTTACTTCATCTCAAGTTTTGAGAGAAATGACATTGCTAAGAACAGGCCAAAAGACTAGCTATCTCTAATATTTTAAGAAGAAAATGTTAAATCTATTAATATATTAAAATATGGTTCATTTGGGGATCTATTTTTTTTCTGAAGTAGCATTTACTTTTTTTTTTTTTTAAGAATGAAGAACACAGAGACTTTCTTATGTATTTATGTATACACACACATATGTGGGGAAAAAAAAAAAAAAACTTTTCTTCATTGTTTACACAAGACACAATACTGTGACCAAACACTGGAGTTACTCCAAAGGTGAGACAATTCAAACAGTTCCTGTATATGTAAAATTTGAAGATATTTACATCAGTCTATCCAAATATTAAAAGTGTTTTTTTGTTTTGTTTTGTTGTCAAGCAGATATGGGCATATCTTCACATATAAAAATATTCTGAAAGGCCCAAGACTTTCAAAAATAATACCATTTACAGGAACTGTGGTTTTAACTGCTTAACTACAATAATGAAGATAATACAATGTTTATGGGCTTGTTTTTTTGTGTGTTGTCACCACCCCACTCCCCAACCCCTTGACAAAGGAGAAAATGTTGCTGTGGTACAGATCTAGCCATCACATCTCAAAAAAAAAAAAAAAAGGAGGTAGAATAGAAAAGCAAAGAGAAGGTGGCAAAAATGAACAAAGTTACTGAACAGTTACTGAATGAGGAGAAAGAAAACTCAGCAGAGGTTCAGCTGCATAAGAAACGTTTGCAGGGAGGGGTGGATTATGCTACAGACCTATGAAGTCATGATTGTCACAAAAGAGATAACAGTGAGTAAATATTCCATGAAATAAATGCTCGTTACTTTAAAGGCACAAATGACTTTAACAAGAAATGCACACCTAAATGATGAACTCATTGCTACAATGTGATGAAAGACAGCATTATGTGTTGAAAGACAGTTTGTAGACTTGCAGAAGAAAGATGCATCAGTTATTATTCACCACAGTATTGTGAATACAACAGATTAACAGGAGTTGGAAAGGCTCATGGAAGAAACTTCACTAAACACTCCCCCTCTTCAGAAACCCTTTACCTACAACTGTGCTACCAGCTTCACTCTCATGGGAGACACTAAACTCAGTGGACATTCAGTGTAATCCAGCCAAACACAAATCCTAACCGTATGGCTTTAGACTTTATTGGGAGAATTTTGACAGAGTATTTTAGGCAAACAGGCTGTTTTTTTTTTATGTTATTTTATTTTATTTTATTTTAATAGCAGTGTATGCCAAAAGGAAAACCTGATATTCCCATAACAATATTTGGGGATTGTTCTGTATGATCTGTGGCTGCCTTCTGCTATTATCTGCAGTGGTTGTTCACTGGTGGGAATATCCTCTGAAGCCATCTACTGTTCATTTTAAGAACACCCAAAACCCAGAATATCTGAGTTTGAGTCAGTATTTACAAATCAGACCTTGTTTTCTGTTAAAAAGTTTCCCACAAGATTTCTTCACCAGATGGTGGAAAAGTTTCACATTATTAATGCTATCCAATTCTATTAGAAATAGTGGATTTGTTATCTAGGACAAAGAGAACATTTATAATCTCCATCTGTATAAAGTGTTTGATTCTGAAAAAAAAATTTACATAAGCAATGAAAACAGGTAAGTCTACTCAACAGTTATTGCAGAATCTGAGCATGGCATAACAGACACCTATTTCTAAAGCCATTAAAAGTTTTTAATTCTTTATTTTCAAACCCCAAAATGTAGACTTATAATGGAACTTAACAATTTAGGCTGCATTGAATACAAAATCATACCACCATTTACAAAATAGATTTATTTTCCATATAGTTCAGAACTATCCCTAAGAAATCTGCTTGTTTTGTAACTGTGGGAAATGTCACAACCACAAAATACTGGTCTTTTTCATCCAAGAGATATTGATGTTAATATTTAAACTGTCTGAGGCAAGGCATTTTCATCTATATTTCATTTCACATTTAGATTCAGAGTCTCCTGTTTTATAGAACCCATCTGCATCTCTATCAGTCTTTTTAAAATGTTCAGTGGGCAGAATCCTCCTCTCTGATTTATACCTTGATCAAGCTGAGTAGAACAAATGCATGCATTTTGGAAAGCAGCTGCATATACTGAGTCTCTGATAGATGCTGAGGTTTCTAGTTCCTATCAACTGTACTATTGTATCCATTTTGGTTTTTTGTATAGCATCAACTTGAGAAGATGGGTTAACCGAGGCACAGAAAAAATAAAAGCTGTAAAGAACAGGGTCTGAAGTAAATATATATATATATATATATATATATATATATATATATATATCTTCCAATGCTACAGAAAAGAACATTAAATCCAATATGGATGTAAATTTGTATTTTTAAAAGATAGAGGAAACAACTTTTTTCTTTTTCCTGGTATTTTGGAGCCAATAAAAACAAATAAGATGTTTGAAACCTATCATCCCAAATACTCTGTCCCTCAGGCACATAAGTACCTCACACTTGCTCAGTTTATTGGTGTGCCTGGTTCATTCTACTTCCAGAGAATGTGAAGGTAACATATTCAAGCTACCCACCTAAATAGACATTTAAATCTCTACCTAGAAACCTAAGCAACTGTGTTTTAAAATGCATAAAATAACTACGGCTACACTAAAACTTAATAGGTGCCATTACAATCATTAACAATTCTACAGTTTTTTTACAGATGCTTTATGAGACAGACTCTGCAAGTGTGTTATGATGCAGATTCAGCAACCAGCTACCTCCTAAACGCCCTGATTTGCATTTTGTCCTGGCCAGACAGCAAAGACTGCATGTCTTTCGGTTTTTCTACTGAATAGTCCTCAACTGCTAGCCATGAGGAGACATAAAGTAAGGTCAGTTTGGTGTCAAACCAAGCAAGTGCAGAAGAGAAGATGGAATTATTTATTTGAAGTACATGCGTTTCCTCTGGGTTTACTTCAGTTTTCCTTCCTGCTCTGTTTACACGAGGCATCCTAAATTTCTCTGTATTTATTGCTTTCTACAACATAGCAATGTCTGATACCATTCAAAGTCACTGCAATGTTAATGCAAATGACAAGACCAGCACCATTAAAGAGGGACTGTATTCTTACTGCTCAGTCCCCACTGAAGCATCCCAGCTTCCCACTTGCCAAATCATAACTATGTCAATGCATAAGCTGATGGCAGCCTGGAGCTCCCTGTGAGTAGCACACATAGGTGGATGACTAAGCCAGTAGTCTTCACAGGTAAACAGAAATGAGACCATCTACCTTTGAGCAACACTGTATATACCAGCTCACACATAATACATCAAAACAGGATTTCTCCACCATTATTCTGAAAGGAGATCACCCTCCCACTGGAGTGATATGGCAGGGGTGTCTCAGAGATATTAACTTGTCATGGTTTGGGCTGGGGCAGAGTTAATTTTCTTCACAGAGTCTCGCACAGTGCAGTGTTTTGGATTTTTGATAACAATAGGGTGATAACACGGGGATGTTTCAGTTGGTGCAGAGCAGTGCTCGCACAGAGCCAAGGCCTCTCCTGCTCCTGGTGCTGCCCGGCCAGCGAGGAGGCTGGGGGTGCCCCAGGAGCTGGGAGGGGACACGGCCAGGACAGCTGGCCCAGGCTGCCCAAAGGGATGTCCCACACTGTGTGGCACTGTG